TGTGCAGGTTTTCTGATCCCATGCAGACCGGGTAAAGGAGGAGTCAGAGTCCTCAGTGATTTTGTAGGGTTTTTTATTAGGGTTCACTAGGCATATGGCAGGCAGGGGTGCTGGCTGGGGGGCTGGGAAGCTGGAAGGCCTCCCAGCTCCCAGCAAGTCTTCACTCTATCTGAGCTCTCTGGAGTTCGTTCTGCTGCTTCTCGGCTTCTTTCAGCTTCGGCTTCGGCTTCTACTGTTGCTTCTTGCGTCCCCGTGACGCCGCCCTTAAAAGCACAGTCTTAGCTCAGCCGAATCCCATCCACCTATGCCCACACCCTATTCCAGGTGACCGCCATCAGGCATGCATTCAGGACAAGGATCCATCTATCCTGATGGCGGAAGGGCAGAAGAGCCTGATATTTTCTTTACCCTACAGTCCACCCCCTCAGGGTTTTCTGCCATACAGTCTATACATACATATATATATATATATATATATATATATATATATATATATATATATATATATACAATTTTCTAAGCAAACAAACAATGCAGCCATGGCCCACAAAAGCAAATACAAAATAACAAAATACAACAGAACACAAGTAAGTCCAGGCAGGGCACCAACCTAGTGCAAAAGACAATTATTGGTACCAGCAGATGAGCCACCAAATCTGCTGCCGAAGGCACTGCTCATGCGAGGGAGGGGAATCACTCACGGCATCTACTATATCACACCAGGAGCCGTCAGGCTTCCTGGCCTTCTCTGGCTGTAGTCTCGGCTACAAGCCACACACAGCATCCACCCCCAGGATGCACTTGCTCTGGGACTGGCAATTTTATTCTGTTGGGGGTAATCGCCAACCCTCAGGGTTTCTGTCTGCAGTCGCTCCAACACTTGGCTTTCATAGCCACCAATGCGACTCGCAGACCCCTGCACTCAGGCCAACCCACTGCACAAGCATATGGGTCGGGGATCTAAACTCTGCATTCGGCTTGGGCTCCACCCCAAGCCACGTTCCCCACCCGTCCCCCAAGGACAGGTTCCTCAGCTCCTCACCCTCACTCAAGAATGAGCAGGTCACCACCCACAGGTGATTTTACGAGACTCACAGTGTTTCAGCACACCCAGGCTGCTTAACAGCCGCTTAGGGCTTCTCAACTTAGCATCAGTACCAGCTTTTGCCTTCTTAGTTGGCTTTTCTCCTCCACCTGGCTGCTGGGCATAACAGGCTGCTTTTGGCCATCAAGGCCCACTGGCCACCCCCAGATTCTCAAAAAAAAAAAAAAAAAAAAAAAACATAACCTGCCAAGGTCCTCCGCCTTCTGGCGGGATTGTCAGTCCAAGTTCATCAGTTCATCAGTTCAAGTCCATTGGCCTCTCCCTGCATCAGCACCGGTGAGCGCTGAATCGTGGTCCTCTCCTCCCCTACGATTCTGTTGCCTCAGGGGTCGTTGGCCGGTCCTTTCGGATGTTGTCGGCTGGTCCTCTTGGGCGTCTCCTTCATGCCAGGTCCGTCCTGCAGCTCCCGGACCGTATCCACCTTCTGTGCTGCCATGGCGCCTCCAGCGTCATCACAAGCAAACAGTCTGTTCTCCTTAGTCCCTCCAGGTCTTTGGAGGGCTCCAATACCCATCTACATGGATCCTGCCGACTTATGCCAATTGTAAAGGGCAGGACAGGACACTGTGCAGGTTTTCTGATCCCATGCAGACTGGGTAAAGGAGGAGTCAGAGTCCTCAGTGATTTTGCAGGTTTTTTATTGGGATTCACCAGGCATATGGCAGGCAGGGGTGCTGGCTGGGGGGCTGGGAAGCTGGCAGGCCTCACAGCTCCCAGCAAGTCTTCACTCTATCTGAGCTCTCTGGAGTTCGTTCTGCTGCTTCTCGGCTTCTCTTTCAGCTTCGGCTTCTACTGTTGCTTCTTGCGTCCCCGTGACGCCGCCCTTAAAAGCACAGTCTTAGCTCAGCCGAATCCCATCCACCTATGCCCACACCCCATTCCAGGTGCCTGCCATCAGGCATGCATTCAGGTCAAGGATCCATCATCTATCCTGATGGCGGGAGGGCAGAAAAGCCTGATTATTTTCTTTACCCTACACTTGGCTTTTAGAACAGATGAGGAAGAGGATAATCTAATCCATGATTATACAGCTTCAAATGGTCAAGGCCTGTTCCTTGAATCTTTGTCTCCTTTCATTCCAGGCCAAAATAAAAAGTGGTGTTCACAATCTGCTAATAACATTGCAATAATGGTGTTCTTTTTCTTTGGATGCTCTATCTTTCAAGTTCTTTACCCTCTCCTCCCTTGGGTACCATTCAATGCCCTCAGACTCCCTCTTTCTTGTTATTTCTGCTGCAAGCAAGGTGCAGAACTATTTTATACTACAAAGACCACTAATAGTAACAGCAGATCTAACCTATTAAGTAGATTATGATTAATTGGATAGTGTGGCCTTGTTAGGGGGATGCGTGAAGCAGGTAGTGTTGTTTACATTCCAATAAGGGTCCCAGCCTTTCAAGGAATATATTATAAATGTTTGCATTTGTATAATATCTGCAAGAGGGTAGAGGGGACGTTGGAATTTCTTCAAAGAAGCACATTTCCTCTCCTTTTTTATACTAATATTAATATTTTGTTAAAGGCACATATTTTCTAATTATTATAGCTCTTGAAAATGCTGGTTCATTTGCTTTCCTTGAAAACTTATTCATAAAATGATGCTGTGCCTTATAGGCAGCATGAACCTTGCATAAATTAGTTTCAACAGAAAGAGGAGAGTTGAATACAATGAATGCTCCCAAAGAGAGGAAACAGTAAAGAAGTGGAAAACAATGGTGAATTCTGATTAATAAACTAATGTAAATTCCAAGTAAAGGAATACTTTATTAAGAAAGACATAAAGTTTCCCTCACATTCCAAACCATTAGCCACTCTCCTTCCCCAAGGTGTTGAAAATCAAGACTAAAAGAAATCACGTAGTCAATACAGTTACTTGATGAAGGTTAATTAGAACAGCAGTACTCATTGACTACTCAGCTACAAGCTTCTGGTATTTAACCTTGGGACCTCATTGATATAATGATAGTGTTTTGAACCAATTTTCACCTGACTTGTACAAGTTGTTTACAAGCTTTATGGGTTGAAAATTAACTCTTAGGTGGTGTTAATATTAAAGTAAAAAGTAGTCAAGCATCTAAAAGCCAGAGTTCTGATTTTCTGCTGAGACTAATATAAACGACTTATATAATTGGAATACCTCATGACAAAAATGATTAAAAGCCTAGGTTAAGGTAAAAATATTAAAGACTTAGTTTTTTCCTTTAGCACTGATTACATCAGCTCTGCAAACTTACAGGAGGATTTTAAAAATAGGACACAGCTCTTGGTAGAGTATTTGCTTATTTATTTGTAATTAAAAGGCATATTTCAGCCATAAGAACTTCCTGTGGCCTAATTCAAATCCATGGAGCAAAGCAGGGAGTGAAGACAGTATCTAGACTAAATAAATAATAAAGAAAATTATTTAGTTATCCAGATGTCAAGAGCAAAATTAGTTCCTCAGCTGGATAGGAAATATTTCTGGCTTTATGGATGACTTGCTTTCTTCATTTGCTTTTTTTGATTACTTCTTTATTTTCTACAATGACTACTACTTATTGAGCACTATGGACCAGGACCTGTGCCTCTGTCTTTAAGGAGCTGACCATCTACAATGTCTGACCAACAAACCACAGAAAGATTCTTAACATATGTAAGGATAATTGTAGGGTACAAACGCAGGCTGCTTCCCACAGGAGTTGAGGGATGTTAGGATATGACCAGGAGCTGTGAAATATGAGTAGTAAAGGCCCCACAGAGTAGGGAACATCAACTAGATCTTGGGGATTAGAAGGCTTTGTAGAGGTGAGGTCAGGGAAGATCATTGAGAAGAAAGGGAAAGCATGTACAAAGTAGAGAACAAATTAGAGAAAGTGGCTTTTTTCAGAACAATCAACAGATAGTCTAACAAGAGCAGAAACAGGACTCTATATCAAGATTTTCACCTTCCCTCCTTTCTCTTGGTCTTAACTCTAATTTAGCCTCTTGGCACAAGTATATAAACTGTCAAAAGTAGAGATGGAGAAGATAAAACTGAAGGCTCTAATTTATTTATTACTAATAAATCAATTCTCCAAGGCCAACAGTCAAGTTAAAAATCAATTATTATGTGAAGGAGTACCCCACTGGAAACACAAATAATAGCCAATGAGGTAGATATTATTATTCATTTTACCAATCAGGAAAAGTAGGGTCAGGAAATTTGAGATACTTAAAGATTCATCATAATCCTAGAGAGTCATATAATCACTGGGTTCCAGATGAAGTTCAGAAAGACTCAATGAATGGTCAAATATATCACAGCTCATGGTTGACCTGATCTGAGCAAAGGTCTCTGATGCCCAGTTCTTTATTACTTTCTTCCATCCCACTACAAATGCAGGCACCCATCCTTCACCTCCCTTACTCAGGAGAAAGACACCACTAAGGATTGTGTTTGCATTTTACAGATTCTGTTTCACTAATTAAAAATGCTGACGTGATCAATTTGCATCACTTCTATGTTTCTCAGTAATGTTTAACCTTAATTAAAAAAAATCTTAGGAGATAAAAAGCATGTTACCTGGTGAGTTCATTCCACCCCCAGTGGTTATAAATTTCAGAACATATCTGAATTCCTTTTCCTTGGCATATGCTTTAGTAAAGGCACAGAGAGCTCCTGGCCAGAGTCACATTTCAAGTTCTCACCTGTTGGGCCCAATATCGCTACCAGACTTCTCTTTGTAGTCAACTTTTGAGATCTTCCCTGAGTACAACTTTTGTTTGAAGATCCACACAAGTGCCTCTGGTCATCTCTTTCCTCACAGAATCACGGTCTTTTCTCTGGGCAAAGCATTTGCTGCAGCGAGTTTTGTTTGGAAACACCATTTCCCTGAGATCTGGTTGAAAGTCAGTCTCTGGCTCTGCAATTCCCAGCATGGAAGCGAAGAACTTTGCAGTTTGGGATTATGTCGTGTTTGCAGCCCTTTTTGTCATTTCCTCTGGAATTGGGGTGTTTTTTGCAATTAAGGAGAGAAAAAAGGCAACTTCCCGGGAATTCCTAGTAGGGGGAAGGCAAATGAGTTTTGGCCCTGTAGCATTGTCTCTGACAGCCAGTTTTATGTCAGCTGTCACTGTCCTGGGGGCTCCTTCTGAGGTCTACCGCTTTGGGGCTTCCTTCCTGCTCTTTTTCATCGCCTATACATTTGTCATCATCTTCACATCAGAGCTCTTTCTCCCTGTGTTCTACAGATCTGGCATCACCAGCACTTATGAGGTAAGAGAACTGTTCTCTTCTTTAATTTGAAAGGAGTTGCTATTTCTCTCCTCTTGGACATTCTTTGTTGTTGTTTTTTCCCCTCTGGTTATACACACGATAACACATGATAGTTGAAGAACACACACTTATTTTAAGGGCAATTATACCTCATAGAAAAATATTGCAATGTTACTGGAAAAAACTTTAGCTACCAACATGTTTTTCCATCTATAGAATGGAAATATTAAAGTCATTCCCATGAGGTCATTTCAGTGATTGTGTGAACCTGATCATAAAAATGTAATGATGTACATATGTTGTAGATTACCAGGAAAGAGCTGAAATTAGTATTTTTGTTATTATTAACATCATTATTCTGAAAAGCATGCAGCTCATATGCCATGAATGTTGTAATATTCTAGCTAAGCAAACTGTGATACAGGTGAATGACTAATCAAGATTGTATAGTGGACAAAGCTTATGAGAATCCACTTTGTCTCCCTTTTCAGCAGATAGTAGAGCTGAGCATTTTAACACAAAGTATTACTATGCTCCAACAGTGGGAAAATGATAATATTTTAGAAAATCTTTTGACGGGAAGAAGTTGCTAAATTAGGGACCTCCCTGGTGGCGCAGGGGTTAAAGACAGTGCTATCAAGCTATTGCCAGCCACTGCAGCACTGAGTTCAATCCCCAGCCTCCCAGGGAGTAACTCACATGGCGCAACAGACCTCTCCTTTTGTACCCGCTGCTCCCCTCAGCAGTGTACTTCAGTTGATCCGCCTGTTCTGCTCCCCAACTATGTCTGGTGAATCTGCTCACACCCCACATCTCTGGCCTGTACCCCAGTTTTTGTATGCATAAATAAAATCTTTTTAAAAAGTTGCTAAATTATACAAAAAAGGGGAGGAAATGAAGACACTGGTGTTTTTGACTTTGCAGTAATTCTCAAGAAAAATATATTAAAAGTTAAATTTGCATATCCAATATTTAAGTGTGATCATTAAATCACATTCTATGAAATAGTTGTTTATTTTCCTTATCCAAAATCATTCCAAATTATACAGAGGACCTTTTTTTTTTTAAAGATTTATTTATTTATGCATACAAGAACAGGCCAGAGGTGAAAGGGGTGAGAGGATTCACCAGAGACAGAGGGGAATAGAACAGGCAGATTGTCTGAAATACACTGCTGAGGAAAATAGTGGGCAAGTCAGGAGAGATTTGCTGCCCATGTGGGCACCTCCCTAGCCAGCAATCAAACTCGTGCTGCAGTGGCTTCGGTAAGCTTCATAGGTTGTATGTTAACCCCTTGTGCCACCAGGGAGGCCCTACAGAGGACCTTTAAAAGACCTTTCTTTTTTTTAATACTGTAAGTAAAATAATTATAAAGGCTTACTCTAGGCTTCAAAAGTCATTCAGGCAAATGAACATTTTATGGAAGATTTTAAAACTTATGATTCTCTCTCTGATCATATGCAAGATCAACCTCCCACCTCCCCCAAAGAGGATAATCATGATTGGGTCATATATCAGCTATTACATGGGCTATAAATACAAGAGAAAATGACTAAAATGTGTGTAATCCTAAAATATATATAAATATATTCCCTCACTCAACACTAGTGAAAATGTGACTATACCCTAGGTTTTTAATTTTTTTCATCAATAATGAAGGCTTGCCTTTCAAAGACATTACTGGCATTTTAAAAAGAATTGTCTAACTGCTAGAAAGGAGAAACTCATAGCCAGAAAATGTGTGCTCAGTTTCTAAGTCCATGCTTCTCATTCTGTGCAAGTTTCTTGGCACTCACCAGCTCCAGTTTTCACAGAAAAAAAAAAAAATAACTGCCTTCTTTCAAGACAGTTTCATTAAGTATGAAAGAGCTTGTTAAATTACCCAAATATGAAAAATGATTTTACAACTGAATAACCATTCAATAAATACTCAACTAAGCACCTACTAAGTTCTAGGCACACTTACTTGCCCCTAGGTGCTTATTTTACAGCAGAGAATGGCAGTCAGTAAACAGTCTCTGTAAAATAGTAACAAATTCACATGGTGTCTGTGTGCTGAGCACTGCTCCAAGTACTTTATGCGTGTTAACACATTTGACTTTGAAATAACCTTTTCAGATAGGTACCATTTCATCATCTTCATTTAACAGACTAGACAACTGAGGCAAATAGTTAAGTGGCTTGCTCAATATCCCACAGTTCACAACTAGCCATTTTCTCAAATCTAAGGAGTCTAAATTTAGAGATCACATGCTGAATCAACATGCTACCTGTTTTCCTAAATACACTAGTGGAAAAAGTCAATAGGGTAAGGTCTCGAGAAGAAGTATTGGTTTGGGTGGAGCATGATAATTCACATAGGGTGGTGAAGTAAGATTTCAAGGAAAATTGCGCAGTTAAATGGACACCTGAAGACAACAGGTGATTGCACCATGCGAGGAGAAATACCCCAAGCTGAAGGCACCACACATGCAAAGGAACTAAAAGGGGAGTGGACTGGTATGTTTGTGGGATGCACAAAGACACCAGTGTGTTTTGAAGAGAGTGAGCCAAGGGGAGAATGTGAAACAAGAGATCAAAGAGGCCAGAGGGAGGAGCCAGTTACTTTGAATGGCAGTTCCCAGTGGGCGTGGTGTCAGACAGAGGGAAGGCCTTGGACATTCACCAGATAATATCCCCCGTGACGTGATTTGGGTGTCACAGAAATGTGGGGGGCGCACAACTGGAGTTTAGGGGACAAGGTTACCAGATACATTGCAATGTGTAAAACATGCATTTAAAATAAATGATTATGTCACATGTTTAATGATTTTTAATGCCCTCAACTTAAAATGTATGGCAAAAAAATTAGCCGAACTTTACTACAGAACAATACCATTTAAAATAAGAAGCTATGTACACATTATTAATCATTATATTTCTTCAAAATTAAGAGGGAATAAAAACTGTGTTTTGAAACTACTGAAAAATCCACTCTATGCATTCTTAATTTTAATTGGTTTTAGTAAAGTGACCCTTTGCAAATACATAAGTGAAAAGATTTGAGACTCCCTTTATTAAATTAGCACAGATGTAAGAAATGTAGGGTTCTTACTGAATTTAATTTACAAAGTTTGCTTTAAAAACATTTGCTTATATTGCCCTTTACATATTAAAAATATGTTAGTACCCTAAAAATTCAGACTTTGTCAGGTGCATATGGTGTCATTTTGATTAAAAAAATTAGTAGCATGGCATTGGGGTTAAAAGTACGGACTTTAGAAGCAGTCTATTGCCTTTGATTGCCACCTCTGCCACTTGCTATCTGCATGACTGTGGGGAAATATTTGAAATTCCCTTTGCTTGATTTTCATATATATAAAATAGTTATAATGAAAGCATTTATCTCAAAGGATGTCTGTGAGGAGAAATGAGGCATTATATGCAAATACTTTCAACAAAGCCTGGCAAATGGTAAATGCCACAGAAGACTTTTGTGTTATTGTTCTTATTACTTTCCCCAAATATATACCACTCAATCTCTTTCTAGCAATTTAAATTTATATTGATTTGTTTATCCTTCATTCCCTGTTACTTATCCATAGATATTCTTCCCACGGTCATTTTAAGTACACTGAAAGATGTGGAGTCTATTTCCCAATCTTTTGAATCTGTATTTGGCCTTGTGACTTGCTTTGACCAATAACATGTGGTTGAAGTATATATTTGCAAACTAGATTTTATGAGGCTTATAGCTTCTCCTTTTGTATTCTTGGAATGCTCTCCTGGCTGCTCTGTCAGGAAGATGTCTAGCGGGTCTAGCCTCTAGAGCATAAGGAACCACATATGAAGAAGGTACCCTAGCCAGTAGCCAAAGCTACAGCTAGACCTCTGAATAAGGCCATCTTGGACTTCTCACCCAGCTGATCTTCCAGTTGATTACAGTCACAGAAGAGTCACAAAAGGGAACACCCAACTAATCCTCAAAACACCAGTAGAGGAACCACCCCACTATTTCTCAAAACAAGGAGAAATAATAAATCCTTGGCTTTTATGTCAATAAGTTTTTGGGTGGGCTTTCTATAGCAATAGCCAACTAATTTAGAAGCTTTGATGTGCAGTGGAATTTTGAGACTAAGATATGCCATCTGTGCTACTTTATCACTATCCTTTCCTGTGTCAAAATAGAAGGAATTGTTCTCACCCTCAAGTTATAAATTAGTCTCTGCTCATTTGCAACATCATACATTTTCATTATCTCTACTTAGTTTATTATTAGTCTTTTCATGTTGTCTCTACTTCAGTTAAACTTGTTTTCTTTCTCTTATTATTGACTAATAAATCCAGTCCATTGTTATTTATACTCATATTATTTTATAGACTAATGCCTACCTGATCTCTTATTTGTGTGCGTGAGGGGGAGGGGTTGGTTCTTAAATTAAATTAAATCTGCTTTCTAATCTAAAAGTTTCATTATTATAATGCACAGGTTACCCCTAAATCTTACTCTCTAAATCTTATTTTATAATGGTTTCTGATATTAGAGACTATATACTCTTTTTGTAAATTGCTTTTCTTGTAGGCGTCCTTTAAATGACAACTAGGTTATTTTAGTAATTATATCTAAATTTTGAGAAAGTAAATGTGAAGGGATAAGGTATTATTATGTAATATTTCAGCATAATACTGATGCTACAAATATTTGTTAAGTAAATGAATATTTAGGGTCTGGTAGGGCTCAAACCAATGTTATGAAGTCTTTTAGATCATTGATTTTTACTTTAGGTGAGATGCAACTTCACAGGGTTTGGCATTGTCATAACATGGTATAATTTGTGTTTTGAGAGTATTATTTAGCTGGACATTGAGAATGATTATAGGGTTTTGACTGCTCAAGCAGAGGGAACAGTGAAGAGGCTATTGCTGCAATGTAAGCCAGAGATGATAGTGTTAGACTGTTAGCAGAGGAGATGGTACCTGTGGATATGTTTTGAGACACTGGATTTTTTTTTTTTTTCATTTGGATCCAAATTCATACTCTCTGGAACCTGTGATAATTTACCTTCTTTGGTTAAAAACAGGATCCTTACAGTTGTACTTAAATTAAGGATCTTGGGATGGGGAGATTATCCTGGTTTAATCCAGCTGGACCTGAAGTACAATCATATTTATAAGAGGGATGCAAAGAGCGATCTGATGGACAGAAGGTAAGACGATGTGACAACAGAATCAAAGACTAGAGTTATGGAGCCAGAAGTCAAGAAAAGTTTGAAGGGGTAAGAAGTAGATTCTTCCCTAAAACCCCCACAGGGAGCATGACCCTGCCAACACCTCAATTTTAGTTGAGGTGAAAATTCTAAATTCTAAATTCTTTCAGATTTCTGGCCTCCAGAATTGGTATTAGGGAAAATGAGTATAGAAGCCATAAGAATCAAATACAGTGAGTACATACATCCAACACCAAAATACAATACAGGAGGTGGCCAGGTGAAATTGAAAGGGAAAGAAAAATTTAGTGTAATTGCCATATGAGCTCAGAGATAAAGTATGAGTAGGGAAACAAATGGCAATTGGACCAACCCTCTTAATATGACTAAGAATTGGGAAGACCCCTTACATTAAACATTTTGCATGCACAAAGGAAAAGACTAAGAAATTCAAAGGCGTGCAAAGCATGTTGGTTGAACAAAACCCAATGATTTTATGTGGAGAATGAATGATATAATAGATCAGGGATTAGAATAGAAGACCTGGGATGTGCACTTAGTTCCATTAACCATTGAACATCATTGAAGATTTTGACAAAAAGAGTGAATTGATCAGAGTTCCACTTTAGGAGATTCAAAGTGGCAATGTGTGGTTAATGGGGCAGTGAGGTTAAGCAAAGAAACAACGGCTTCAGTATATCCAGTAGGATGACCCCTTGATAGAAGGTCAGAAGAACTGAATTTGTATTCAGGCAACTCATTTAACTTCTATGACCAGTGTGAGAATGAAACTTGAGCAAGAATTGAGCTTTACTTTATCTTTGATGAACAATGCAAGGTTTTCTCTGTTCTCCCCAGTATACACAGCAGAAAATCACATTATAAATCCAAAGCACTAAACTCAGGAATACCAAGCAAAAGAGGAATGTCTCGGCAGCTCGTATGTAAAACTTGCTGATTCTTTGCTTTTCTTTCTCTGTTATTTCTAGTATTTACAACTACGATTCAACAAATCAGTTCGATATGCAGCAACAGTCATCTACATTGTGCAGACGGTAAGGGGTAAGAGCAGCTACAAACATGCAAAGTGTAAGGTGACAAGGCACAGATTTAGTTATTTCAGGGAGAAATTCATGCAATGAAAGAATAGATTTAATACTAAGAAAAGCTTTCTTCCAGGCATAGCACTTTCAAGATAGCGTGAAGAGCTACTTGTCTGCATTGCACAGACCCCATATATGTATAAAAATAATAGCAAACAAATATATATCATAAACAACAAAGCAAAAAAAAAATTCTTGTAATTTATTTCAAACTTTTTTAACCTGTACAAGTTGCTCCGGATATGAAGTGGCCTGATAGCTAACTGGTATCTGTCTGTCTGTCTATCTGTCTCTATCTATCTATCTATCTATCTATCTATCTATCTATCTATCTATCTATCTAATATCTATCTATCTATCTATCTATCTATCTATCGATCGATCTATCTATCTATCATCTATTTATCCATCCTCTATTTTTTTTTTTTGTTTTTTAGTAGTTGAGTTGAACTAGAAAGTCCTGTTCTGCATAAATCATTTTAAGATCATAGTCCCACACCAATACTCCCTTTTGTCTCTTTCTGGCTCCCCTCCTACCTTTCAGAATCGGGTGTACCTTCATGTTGTCCCAACGCTGCCTGTGACATGCTCATGGGCACATTTCATACTACTTATCAAGTACTTTCTGCAAGAAGATAAACTTCTCTTTTTTTAATTAAACAAGACTCATTGAAAGAGTCAAGAGAGAGAAAAGGAGGAAAGCCATGCTTCTTGACTTCCCCCTTAGGTATTTGTCTTTTAAAACCTTGAATGCATTTCTAAGTGTGAAATTCTATTTAAAAAAATGGGACTCTACCCACTACATTCAAAGTAATGTTTCTGGAAGCTAGCAGAAGTTCTCATTATGTAGATCGCCCATGTTGACAGTTCCCTGCAGTGCCCTCTCCTCACAGATTCCTCTGTTTCCACAGCACAATTCCTCCTCCAGCAAACTGCTAAACCATGTCTATGTCCTTGAGATACATGCATAGAGAAATGCGTAGAGAAAGGGCAGATCAAAAAATATCATTAGAAATATACCAAATCTAGCTTTAAAATAAAAATTTAAAGCAATCTTGAAAATCCAACTGTCTTCCTCCACCAAATGCTTGCTCCTGTCTGCAAACTAGTTACAGTGAGTGGTCAATGACTTCTAAATTCGAGAGGTTGGGAATGAAATTTTGGGCCAACAAATTGAAGGGAATACATGATTAAGGAAGTTTGTAGGCTGAAATAGGAGCCTTTTAAGGTACTTTTCCTTTCTATGTGACTTCTCTCACTGTTCACCTGATTCTTGTTTCTCCACCAGATTCTCTACACAGGAGTAGTGGTCTATGCCCCTGCTCTGGCACTCAATCAGGGTGAGTCATTGCCACCTCCTGGGGTATATTCTACCATATGATACCTGCATTCTCACCTTGAGAAATGTACATAAAACATCTTGTTGGAGAGATATTTCTGTGGTTAGGGAACTCTGAATTATAATAGCAGTCACAACATTATTATTTAGAATGAATAAACTCTAAAAATTGAATTTTAAAAATAGCACAGCTATGTGATTCTACTCACGAGATTCCAAATACCCAGTTTGTTTGTTGATTGTTTTGGTTTTTAATCACTGGAATGACTGCAGTTTTGACAGCCATAAGTTCATCTATAACATATGGTCCTTGCTCAGTAATTTCATGAAATAGAAAATCTGTGTACTAAAAAGACAAGGTGCTTGTAGTAAATGTTTTATCTCTTTTCACAGTGACTGGATTTGATCTCTGGGGCTCTGTGTTTGCAACAGGAATTGTTTGCACATTCTACTGTACCCTGGTATGTATCTAGCTGTGAAAAGGAATTTAGTTCTATCTCCTAATATGGGATAAGGGCAAATTTCCAATAGGACATCTAATTATAGCAGATATTGCTATTTAAAAATTAAATAGAAGATGCTTTGGGTTGTCTGTCATGATTTCCTAAGAAAGGTGCTGCTGTTTTATGTAATTTTTCTAAGTAACAGTTATTAGTAGAATTTGGGCTCTGAAATCATTTGAGAAAGCCATGGCTAAAATAGGATTTAATGAAAAAAAATCTTCTTGATCAGAAGATAACTGATATGTAACTTTTATGGGGAAAAAACTGTTCATTAACAGTTATTATAAACTACAAGTAGCATTTATGCTTAGTGATCTACCGTTTGATTTGCATGTAAGAGTGACCAAGGATGACTGGTATTTTGCACACTTGAGGAATCCAGAGCTTGTTTTTGTTTCTTATGAATGAATAAACATGGTGTACACTTACCATTTGGGTTTACACATGCACAGGTTTAAACTAAGAAACCTGTGTGGTGCTGGCACCATAGTTATAGAATTGTTACAATGTTTAGTTCAATAAACTTTCCTTGAGTAACTATTATATGCTATGAACTATAGTGGAACTCTTGTTCCTCTGCGTTTCTCACACCATATTTAAGGGATTATAAATTAAGAATATGACAAAGATTCCCAGATATTTGTGTTCTCTTTCTTCTTTTATAGAGAAAAATTAAATATATTATCATACTGCAGATCATTCATGTATGTCAGCATTATGTACCTATCTCCATAATCTCCTGTAGTATATATTTAATGATAACATAAAATCACAAATCCCCTTCTCTCTCTTTTATCATACTTTGTAAATCACACCATTTCATTGCATCACAAAGCTTGACTTAATATCCTCCCATTCCATTCATACCCTTTCTCATTCCATTCTATTCCAGACACACACATCCTCCTATCTAGGTTAAAAATAGGCTCCTGCTCCTTACACATCTGGTCATATATGTCAGGTTAGTTGCCTGGAGCAATTGTCTAGTAAAGGAAACAAATGTGTGCTGACTATATAACAATGGATGCCTTGCTAGTCTTGCAAAAGACAGCTTAGCTAGCAAACGAAACTCTCCCTGCAAGTAGAGTAACAAAATACTATAATAAAGCAATTCTAAAATATGAATTATTAGGACTGGTATTTGGAGTGAATGATGAGTAGGTAGGGCTGAGGAGGGTGCTGATAACAGGACTATAATTGGGATAATGAATTCTGGGCTAGTGTTTATGTAGAGTTGCTGAGTTTGGGGATATCACATAAAACTGGGATCACTGAGGAAGCTAAGGTCATTCTAGTTCAGTAATAAACTTGTGCTCTAGCATAAAAAATGTGCAGCTCCTCTCTGGAGCAAGAATTCAAGGTAAGACTAAGATCAGGGCTTCCCCAGTGGCATAAGGGTTAAGTCTCAGCACTCTCACCTCTATGGCCTGAGTTCAATCCCTGGCCAGGGAATTAATCCACATATAGTGCAGCAGACCTCTCCTGTCTCACCTGCTGCTCCCTCAGCGGTGTATTTTAGTAGATTGGACTGTTATGCTCCCCACTCTGGCTCTGGTGAATCCTCTCACCCCCTTTACCTCTGGCCTACACCCCAGGTTCTTCTATGCAAAAATAAATAAATCTTTAAAAAGAGAGAAAGATTGTAAGATCGCCATAGAAAAATATCCAGCAATGATCTTATGATAAAATATCACATGAACATAAAGTAATGAGCTATGATGGTGACAGCAAGACAAAAACCAAGAGATCTAGACTCTCAAGAGCAGCATATGTTGGAATTAGAAAATACAGAATAAAAAACAGATAAATAGGAACTATTTAAGTAAATAAATGATGCAGCAATGCCGCGGACCAGCGCAGCGGTAGACTGGCAAGGCCATCCCAGGGATGTGAAACTCGTGCAGGATGGTCAAGGATTTGGTGCATAAATGACAGACAGACACACTTCAAGAGTGAAGATCTGAATGTAATTTGCTCAAAATCATTATACACTTTTATACCTTTTTTAACAATGGATGATTTTATACAAGTTAATTCTTTCTCAGCATAAAATGCTTAGTAGTGCATAAGACATCTACTTCATTATTCATGTTCATGTGATCGATGTTCCATTGCATGGCACAGTAAACAATCTCAAGGTACTGAATCTACACAATTATTTTTGATTACACAGAACAGCATTCTTTAAGCTAGCTTTTGTTTTGTTTTCCAAAACCACAATTATCAGAAAGCATTAATATTTAACTACTGCTACCTTTTACTTTTAGTGATCACAAGCGATATTTTCTCTACGTAAGCATTTTGATTTTTGTGGTATTGACTCATGTGAGAAGTATTATGATTATTCTGAAACTACTCTTACCACACACTATTTTCTTCATCACGCATTTCCTTGAACTGATTTCACACAAAATAGAAAAAGTAAAGTAGATAAGAAAATAGTATAATTATAGACTGGTTGCTATGTTGTTTCTTATGTAGGAACAATGACCAACAGGTTAATAGTTAAACCATTTTGTTGGTGACTCCATCAGGCAGCAGCCGTGTTCTCAGCCAAAAGAAGGGGTTTTTCACTGCGGGCTTAACGCCTGGATTAGGCTTACAGGCCTTTAGACTTTTGTCTGATTTGAACGCCAAAGGTTATCATAATGAAGCCCCTCGGGGACTGCGCCTGTCTTAGGTCGTCAGGAGTCGCAGACATGCGGCTAGCCAGTGCCTTCTTTAGTCTGCCCCCGATCTTACCCGTCATTGACTGTCCAGTCCAGCGCACAGGGGAAGTGGGTCTTATTCACTCGGATGTACTATGTGTCTGAGTGAAAGCCTCCCTCTTTCCAGTAAGTTCACTGGCGTTCAGTGGCAGGGGCTGCCGCATAGCAACAAAAACGAGCAAACAGCAAGAATGACCACACAGTGCAGTTACCATGAAAAAGTGCACATTGAACACATTCGAAGAGACAATAGGTATATTGGAAGCTGTATCTGAAGAAATAACCATCTGATATATGTAACAAGGACTGGGGAGTGGGAAACAAAAATGAGATATGTTATGGGAAAAACGAGAGTCTAATTTATGCTTTATTCAAATCTGAGGGGAGAATGCAAGAAGAATGGAAAATAGGCAAGAGTACAAAGAGTTGCAGCTTGAAATTTTTCAGAATGGATAAAAGATTAGAATGTACAGTATAAAGAATTACAACTTCAAGGGATAAAAGGATAAAATAAAGTTAATATCTTGACTTATTAGTAAGACTACAGAAACAAACACAGTAGAAAACTTGAAAAAAGGAGAAAGGGAAAAAGGAAATGAAAATGCAAGTGGACACTGAAGGCAAACTTAATTAACAATAGTAATGGAAGCCAGAAATAGTAGAATGATATCTTCAAAATATTGAAAATATTGAAGAAAAATAATTTTAAACCTATGATTGTATAGTCAGCAAAACTATCTTTCAGGAACTGAGTGTTAAGAGAATTTATATATCAAGATTAACATCTTTCCATGAAAAAAATCTGGTGGAAATTCTGTGGGAGGTAGGAAAATTATCCTATTTTTGATAGAAAACAATTAATATAGAAAACATTTAATAAGTCTAGTGAAACAATTTTGGTTGACTAATGATAAAAAATAATAAGTTCATGGTATATTAGAATTTATATTTTTTCATAATTTTATAGTCTACATTATAATTTATAATACTATAAAATTTAATGGTAGTAATAATATTATTATGTGTGACTTTGAGATTAAGAAAAATAAATAATCCCTAAATTATAACAATAGCATATAAGTCAGGAAGAGAATAATCAGATTTTATAGTCCTTGAATTGTTGTGGAGGAAATATTTCTTAAACTTCGATTCCAGTTTAAAAATATACGGCAAAGTTTCCAAGGGAAACGTTTAAGTGAAATGGTCAAAGTAGAAAAATGGAATTAAAACAACTAACTTGATTTCCGTAAAAGAAAAAAAGGTAAAAAACATGGAAAAGGTAGCAATAGAACCCCAAAAGTAGAGAGATCAAAAAGAAATTTGGCTATTTTAGTGTTCCCAATAAACTACCATGAACTAAATTTACAACCACTTAATTGGTTTCAATGCTTCCTCGCATGCTGAAACTCTATTAGATTAATCTTAACATATTCATTTCTTCGTGCAGTTTTACTGACTCAATTCTCTTCTAGTTTACCATAGCTCACAGGATACACTATAAGCTTGGCCTAGCGTTGAAAATCCTTCATTTTGTGAATCAACACCTCAATCTCATCTCCTGTCACCATGCCTCTGTTTCATCTCTCCTCTCTCTAACCAGGCTAGAGACCTGAGTATATCACCAAAATAGTGACTTATTTACCTAATTCTTTAAATCACATTGATAATCCTGTGGGTGCACAGCCTATGTAAAATAACCTGGAAGAGTGAAAAAAAAATAAGAAATAAGAAGGAAGTCCTACCAACTCAGTGTTTGCAATCTACTGATCTAAACACTAGATCCCCAACAACACATGTCACTCACATACACAAGGGACATGGCACCATTAGAGTTACAGATCAACTGTGTGTGTGTGTATTTTATGAAGGAGTCAGCATCTAAGAAGTTTTCAGGGTGATTATGATCTGTCTTTTGATTAAATATTTGATAAAATGGTTGCTCTCTTACCTCATGTCTAGCTGAAGTTCAGATTTATGCGTTCCTCTGCATAACCAGTGCCAAGTAGCCTCTGAGAACTCGGGTCTTTGATATTCAGTTGTCATGTCACTAAAATCTGAGGAGATTTGAGTTTGGAAGTATTAATGTCTTTAAAGGAAATCAAAGTCCATTTAGGAGGTGGGACGTAAGAAGTTGGTTATTTCTTCTATCAGGACTTGATACAAAAACAATGCTCTGGCCAGGGCTATAATGTCTAATTTTTAATTGCATTTTAATTTTTAATTACAAAAGAAGTGATGGGAAAACCCAATATCTTCTTTTTTCTCAAGATAAAGATGAAGCCTGTCATCTTTTCACAGAAGTTCTTGACACTCTGGAGGAGTAACAGGGGACGATAATTCTATTTTTCAATGTTAAAAATACCAGTTCTTTTATTCTCATAGTGCTTATTCATTTTCAAAGCATATTTTAATATATCACTTCATTTCATCTTTCCAAATTTGCTCATTCTACATTCACTGTGGTCCTACGGGACTCTACACTTGTATTATTCCACTAACCTCTTCCTTTCTTCCTTTCTTCATTCCCACATGTTCTCAATTAGAATTGCTCATTTGAATTACCTACAGGCCTTTCAAAAAACACTGAAAACTGGGTCTATTAGTATATTCAGAATCCCCAGGGATGGGGCTTAGATGTTGGTTTTATTGCTATTCTCAAATTCCCCAAGTGACTCTAGAAAGTATCTGGATTTTATAACACTGCTCTAACCTCTTGCCTAATTATCTTTCCTGAGTTCTACTGTTATATTTATCCTTTTGAAACTCTGTTAGGTTTACTTCACTATTTAACTCTCCTTTAAGTCTTAAACTTCCTTTTTCCATGAATATCTGAAATCTATCAATCTATCATTTCTTCCTAGTTCTTTTCTTTCTTAGTATTCTACTATCTCAGTTTTGCAAAAAATTTTCACTGTCTCTTGTTTACCCCCCCCCCCCAAAAAAAAAGAAAAAGACAAAAACTCAAATTGTATAAGCCATACCTAGGGGAAAATCTTCAATTGTCTGTCTCACTTCCTCAGCACTTATATTCAATTAATCACAAGTTATGTTGATTTTACCTTCCAAATAGCTTTCAAATCCATCAACTTCTTTCCATATTTACCCTATTCCTAACTGCTGTCATCTTGGGTATGGACTACTGAAATAAAATCTGAGCTGACCTCTTAATTCCACTTCTTCCCACTGCAAGTACTGGGAAATAAACACAGTCTCTTATCAAATGCATTTCTTACAGTGATCTTGTTAGTTGGCAGAATGATGCCACCCCCAAAGCTGCATGCTCTAAATGGGTTTTGCTATTCACTGCATAAAGACAAAACATATTCTTAGTGTGTAAGAGCTTTAATACAATTAAGTATGCAATAGAGAGAAGAGGAAAAAATATAGTTAAAATAGTTTACCCATGAAACACAGAAAAATTACTCACTTCCTTGGGGGTAAATGCCAGCAGAAAAAGGTTGGCTCAAAGCAGGGCCACTTAGACGCAAGAGCTTGCCACAAGTCTAAGGCACCTTCTGGTGGGGTCCCATAGGTCAGGGGCAGAAGGGGCCAGGCAAGTCTGGAAGGAATAAAGTGAAAATACAAGTCAAAATAAAGCCTGGCATTGTCAGCCTCCCTAGGGGTCTCTCTCCCATGTCTCTCCCCCACCCCCCCAATTGTTTCCTTCTATGTTCCCCCCAACCAAGTCCCTGGTACAAGTACAAGGCTCAGAAGCAAGTACTGCTTCTTTTCCTGTCTCTCCTCCATATGCCTCTTCCAGGTCTTCTTCTAGTCTTCACTCCCCAGACTTTTCTCCCAAGTACTTTTTAGCTTCCACTCAAGTCACTCAACTTTACCAGTTAACAGGTGGGCAGGGCACATGGAGCCTCCCATTTCTGTGGAGATTACATTGTTATACTCTTACTGTTTTTGAGAAATCATTACAGTTCTGGTCAAAATCTTGTGTTCAGCAACCTCCCTTTGGGTCTCTGCACAACCCATCATGTATTTTCTAACATTCTTTCATTTCTTCAGGTAGCCAGGCTTCTTCTTTCTTCACACATGCTGTTCTCTTTCTCTTCTTAGTTCTCTGAACCTGGTAAATTATTAATCATCCTTCAGAACTTAGCTAGAAGGCCAAGGTCAGGACTCCTTGCTATAGGATCCCATTGAAAGAATTAGCTTTCTTAATTGCACTTTCCACAATTTAAAGTAGAAAATTACATTATTGTATCTGCTTCTCCTACTAGACTATGACCTCTATAAAGATAAGGTTAGATTTTTGGTCTTTTTCAGCTACCATTACAGTCTCATGCTTAATATGGTACTTGGAACACAAAACATGCAAAATGAAAGAAATAAAAGTCTTGATGAATGAAAAAAGGAAAGAAAGAATGATTGATTAAATTAGCAGGGGTGGCTGTACGGGATTGAAAGAGTTGCAGGCTTTATTTTCAAGAATTGACATCCATTCTCTTCATTTCAGGGAGGATTAAAAGCAGTGGTGTGGACAGATGCATTTCAAATGGTTGTCATGATTGTGGGCTTCTTAACAGTTCTCATTCAAGGATCAGCTCATGCTGGTGGATTACACAGTGTATTAGAACAATCAACCAATGGATCTCGACTAAATATATTTGAGTATGTCCAATGCTACTTTTTCATGTCTTATAAAGATTTAGCTCCATGACCTCATCACTTAAAAAAATAATATCTGAACATCAGAGGAACATCTTTGTTCACTTCTCTCTCCCTCATAGCTTTGATGTGGATCCTCTCAGAAGGCACACTTTTTGGACAATCTCTGTGGGAGGAACTTTCACATGGCTTGGGATATATGGAGTTAATCAGTCAACCATCCAACGATGTATCTCTTGCAAAACAGAAAAGCATGCCAAACTGTAAGTTATTAATAAAGCATATTTCTATGTTTTCTCTGCCTTATTGGATATTATATACTTCCTCATGTTGTACATGGGGGTGAGGGGTTAATATGTGTGTGTGTGTGTGTGTGTGTGTGAGAGAGAGAGAGAGAGAAAGAGAGAGAGAGAGAGAGAGAGAGAATCATTTAACCCTTTCAACAGTTTTTGAGGCAAGTATTTCTCCTGTTCTCATCTCAGCAAGGAAGTGGCAGATCCAGAGTTTGAACTTGAGTCTGTTTACCTTTGCTCTCAATAATTTGTTGCTTCCATCTATCGAGAAATTATTAGGCTAAAGTGAATTGTTGTGGGGCAATGCAGAGGTAAATAGCACATATTTCTTACAGTTTCTGTGACAAGCTGGTTCTTATCACTTATTTGATTCAGCATGTGATCTCCCCAACTATTTTTCACTTGATGAATTTACCATTATGGTTTATCAGGAACAGTTAAAGAGGAAAAAACCTGAGGAAATGCGGCCAGTCATACTGGGGCTTTAGCCATTCCAGCTCTTAACGAAATAACCAGTCAGCAATCTTGTCCAGACTTGATTACTCTGAAGGGTTCCAGCTTTTCAAGTCTTTTCCAAGCCTGCAAGTCATCCCATGTTCTAGAATGGAGAACCAAAGAATTATGCTTTTTTTTTTTTTTTTAATAAAACAGGTGGAAATAAGCTGTAATTGAAACTAAGTGGGCATTTCACCCTCATTGTTGCTGCCCCTGGTTCCAGCCTCCCAGACTTGTCTCGTTGCTGTCAGCTTTTCTTAGAGTGAGAAATTGTCACTATGAATATGTCCACAAATGATTGTAAAAAACTTTCAGTATACAGTCTAAATGAAAATTTAGACTGAGAAAGAGATAAAATTATCTGTCCATGTTTCACCATTTTGTAACTTAAATTCCCAAAAGGAATGTATTACTTATATATTTCACACACACTCAGCAAGAATAAATGAAAGTATTATCTAGTATTACATTGATTCATTGGTAACACTCATTTCATATTACACTAAATAATATTAACAAACCTGCCACACACATGGCCACTACTTTATCAAATAGTTGAATTACTGAATATATATTTAAGATAAAATGTGACTTTGACTTTAAAATTAATTTAGAACTCTGCTTTAAAATAGAGTTGATTCTCACTTTAAGACAGTGGATTTTTAGTGAAATAAATAGCAATTCTTTGTTAAATTTAGTGTTTGGGAAATATTGTATGTTTGTATTATTTTATCTTGAGAACCTGGTTAATATCTCCCTATTCTAAGTTAGGAAATGTACCCTTTCATCTTTTTATCTTTTTAATCTTTTTATCCGCACAAGGCCAAAAAATGCTTTATGCTTATTAAATGCTTATCACTTATTAAACAAAGTCATGCTTCAAGGAGATGAATACATGGAAACACAAATCACATGGGAATGTTTCATGTATATTTGCAAACACATATACATATGCTCCTATGTATGTATTTGTGTGTTAGTGGATTGGTTTAAATCAAGCAAAAGTCAACAAAATTCCATTCATAATAGTTTCTTGGAATTTGGAATGTGCTGCATAGTGTTTAATGGGTGTGAAAATTGTCAGAAAAGGAAAGATAGTCCTTTCCTTTAGGAAATGTACATAATTTACTAAGCATTTAGGATTGTTATTCCTGGTTCCAATCATCCCCAATCCTGTGGAGGGACCATAGATATGCTTAGAATTTTTTTAGGTTAAGGAAAGATGAAGAAAATAAAATCTGTCTTTAGAAAATAGAATCTGTCCAAATGGCTGATAGAGTTGCAGGGCATACAGCTGAAGAGGAGGCTGCTGTAGCGGGGATGTGGTGAGGGCTCTCATTTGTCACATAGCTGAAGCCTAAAGGGCACTGCGTGAGCAGCTAGAGACCACTTGGAGGCTGCTGACAACACTCACTGGAAGACTGTATAGAATTTTGATTAAATGTACACTTCTGTTCCATCTCAGAACATGCTGTAACTAAAACATTCCATATAGACTTAGGAAAATCTTTGCAACTTGGAGAAAATATATCCTGTATCATAGGTAAATGATAATAGATTCTTAATATTCATCACTCCCTTTTCTAATGTAAGTAATGTAAAACAAAAGCTACCAAGAGGGGTAATCATTAGGTATATTTGCTTCATAAGAGAGTATTTTGATATAGGGTTTTCCAAAAGTCAGGTACACTTAGAGTATAGGTTTTGGGCGGGCGGTGGGGGGTGTTGAATGAATGTGTCCTTAAATTCGAATGTGGATACAACTGATTCCTTTCAAACACTGATTGGCCTCAAGAAAATGTCCAGTGTTGCTTGTCTGGCCCCCTGAATCTCCAGAGTGAGAATGTTTATTTAGTGAATGGAAGGCCAATCTACTTTTAGGTCTTTCCTGAGATTAAGAAAAAGAGTAATAATCTGACTTTCTATGGACAGTCATGTAGATAAAGTAAACATGGGACACAAAAAGAGCACCCAATCTGGAAATAAGCATATCTCCATGTTGAAGAATAAAAAGTTTTGCTCCAAAATTTATGGGTAAAGTGAGATTAGCTTTCTCATACTTTCTCTTGTCTTTAAAAAAATAAAACTAAAAACCTTAGCTTTCAATTTCGTTTGAATTACTCTCCAAAGTGGATATTTCAAAAGCGTCTCCACTTTTATATCTTTCTCATTATCTCTACAGAAGAAAAGATGTTAAAATATAAGTTGGCTTTCTGACAATTTCATCAATTGAGGCGGGGGAGAATCACTTGAAGTCATATAATATGAGTGATTGGTATGTGAAATTTTATCTAAGAAAATAGGCCTCACACCACACAGTGAGGTTTTGTTGAAAAACTCCCTAATGAAAAAGAAAATCAATCAAATATCTACCAGTTTCAAATTTTGTAACCAGTCTAAACCTATGTTTCCCCCACCCCCCCAAAAAAAGGAAATATATAAAATATAATGACTCTTGAAGACGGTAGGATTTTATTTTATAGCAAAAAGACTGCTGAAAAATTTGCCTTGAGTCTTGCTAATGGGACTAGTCATATTACACTGTAAAGAAGCATAGAGGCTACCAATAGGTCTGTGTATGTTCTTTTCTAGAGCCTTGTACTTTAATTTGTTGGGTCTCTGGATCATTCTGGTGTGTGCAGTCTTCTCTGGCTTAATCATGTATGCACACTTCAAAGACTGTGACCCCTGGACTTCTGGAATCATCTCAGCACCAGACCAGGTATGTGTTTTCTTGGGGCCAGAGGGAATGGCTGAATGACTGTGCTTCTGGTTACTGATGGGTGTTGGTGGACATTTCTCTTTTTCTGCTGGATGTCCAGCCACTTCCCAAATCCAAAAGACTTGTTCTCTTTCCTCCCCTCTTGGGTGCTAGCAGCACACACTATTTGTAATATGAATGGATGAGCATGTGAGAAGATGACCGATTACCTTGTCATTGAACAAAGGCTGGAGCCAGGGCAAGTCCTTGAACACTCGAGAAGGCAGGCCTGAACCCATGCTTCAGTTGTTGATGTTGCCTTTGGACTCTCTTTCTGTTCATTTCAAGGTTGACTGATGATGCTTTAATCTTAAATTGAGCAAAATGACCTTTATTTCTCTAAGGCTTCTGCTCATGACTTCTAATCACAGCTTAAATAATATGATCCCAATACCTACATTAAGTTTGCTTTTAGACCTCCATTTATGGAGAATATGGTCAGGGAACCACTGTCTACTCTCTTCCCTTGTATATTCAATTCTCCTGCTTATCCCTATGGGGGCACCTCTCCCACATATCTGATTAGAACCATAATACCTTAAACCATAATTCCTTGAAAACCTGCTTAAAGCAGTTGTTCATAGGGTTTAATTACTAACATTGAGGGTAAACAGGCAAGAAAATATGTTTCATTGCAAACATAAGAAAAGCTAAAAGTTTATGAAGCTGCTAATGTTCATCCAACCCTGTCCACTTATATTGACCCTCCCCAACCCCTCCTTTACAACTGGACCTCATGGAATTGGATTACAACATCATTGGCTAGCCTGTATCAACCCTAGCTCCTCTATCATTATTTCATTTTGTGTATTTTTTCCCTTTTTCCATCTTCTCTAGCTAAAATGCTATATTCTCGTATTTCCAACATTGCTGATAAGACCACTGATCCTATGTTAATGTTCTGCCTCTCCAGCTGATGCCATACTTTGTCATGGAGATATTTTCTACAATGCCAGGTCTGCCAGGGCTCTTTGTGGCTTGCGCCTTCAGTGGGACCCTGAGGTTAGTATACTGACAGTGTTCCACTTTGCCTCAGCCGAAGATAATGACAATGGCAATGACAACAAAGATAACAAGGGTGATGGTGGTAATAATCTCCAATATTTACTGAGTTCTCTCTGTGGTTCATTGTCCTATGACAATGAATGCTTTATTTGTTTTTATTATTGCTTGCCTGAGACTGAAGCATTGTTCACCTTATCATCACTGTTTACCTTATCATCACTTTGTTTACCTTATCATCACTTTACATATAAGGAACTGAAATTTAGCAAGAAAAGTTACTCATGGTGACTTAGTAAATCACAGAGGCAGGGTGAAGCTTAGGTCTGTCCCCCCTATTTTCTCAACCTTGTCTGATGTCAACTGTGCCTGATTTCACATGACCTTGACACAAAGTAGCTCACTCTTCGGTCTCTTCTCCCTCAGCTACAATGATCCTTTGCCTTCTATTCTCTCCATTTTCAATAGCACACTCTGGCAGCTGAATGAAGATAGTTATCTTAAAAGCAAAATCATTCATACATAGATTCTGACAAATATTTCAGAAGGTTTATATATTACACCAAGTTCAGGTGGTGACTCTGATGATAATACAGAGAACAAAACTGACATGAGTATTGCCCTCATAGACCTTTGCCTTTCATAGACATGGGAAATGGGCTATATGCAACAAAACAAAAATAAGGAAGGTATTATTTGATAACGACATGCAGTGTAGAGGAAATAGCAGGGTGACTTCCCAGAGAGAGGTGAGGCTGGGCTTTCTAATTTTTATAGGATCTTTAGGGAACTTCCTGATTAGTACCAACATTTGTACTGAGATCCAAAGGATGCAAGGAGCTAACTGTGATTAACAAAGGTGGAATCTTTATAGATTGGAGGAGGAAGGTATAAATTCGATAAGCTGTATTCGAGGAACAAAGATTTGATGCATAAGGAACTGGAGGAGAGCAGATGGGGATAAATTTGAAGATGTGGACAGGTGTCATGGCAGATCAACATGAAATGGTAAAGAGCTGGCATTTCAAATTAAATGAAATGACATGACTTAGTCCCTGAAGTCAGGGAAATCACAGAGGCAGGACTGAAGCTTAGATCTGTCCCTTCTGAAGTCAGGGAATAAATAATGTCATAAATAATGTGACCAGTTAGGAGACTGGCCTTTATTCAGATGAGTGGTGATAGTCACTTGTGAGAAGGGCAGGTGCAGTAGTGTTGAGAGCAATGGATTAAAACATTAGGATGGCACATTACTTTTCTTCATTAAATATTTTAATTAAAGTAACACTTGCTCTCAACACTACATATGATTTAGAGATATAGGCACACACATTTCTGGTGTATGTCACCACACCACACCCACCACCAAGGCACCCACATTCCTCCATCATAGTCCATTTTACTCCTCCCCACTTTGCTCTAGTAGACTCAATTCTACAGTCAGATATCTAGGGTTTGGTATTGGTTTGGTTTTATCTGACCCTTTGTTTTGTTTTTCTGTGTCCCACATGTAAGTGACACCATCTGGTATCTGTCTTTCTCCTTCTAATTTACTTCACTTCCATCACTTTTCTTCAAACAAGACTCTCCGCCTTATGGACCAGATAACTCAGTAAGCAGAAAAAACCTTATTTCCCTTGCTGGAGCTTAGTTACAAAGAATCAATTAGAAGACTTGTCAAAGAACAATTTTAAGATAGCAAAATGATCAAAGTCAAAGTCAAAAGTTTATGTTTTATTCCTCAACTCTCTTAGTCTCACCTCACAGAATTAACCACTGTTAACAACGCCTTCTGTGCTTTCTTGAGAGATCATGCTTTATACACTGATGGATTTCTTTAGTAATATGATTTAGAAATCTTTTAGTATCAGTAACTCTACCCTGTTCTTGTCATTGAGCTACTATAATTTAGTTGATAAGCACTTTGATGGCAGGCATTACTAACAGTACTATGTCTTAGCATGTTCAAGTGGTTACAACAAAAATCAAAGACTGGGTTGCTTACCACCAGCAGAAATTTATTTCTCAAAGTTCTTCAAGAAGTTCAAAGAACTTCTTCAAAGTTCTTCAGAAGTCCAAGATCAAGGTTTCAGTAGATTCTCCAGTTTCTGGTGTGATTCTCCACTTTTTACTTTATAGAGAATAAACTACCAGTAATTTCATTATTTTTTAGCAAGTAAGCCATCTTTTCACCATTGACTTAAAATGCTGTTTTTACTATATCCTACATTATTTTTTATAATATATCCTACATTATTTTTTATAATATATCCTATATTATTTTTTATATTTTATATTTATACATTATTTTCTATATCCCTTTATCTCTATCTATAGGTAAGCAATCATAATTTTATTATTGCACTTTAAAATATGATTAAATATTTATTCAGGTGGTATTTAATTTCTTTCACAAATTTTTCCTGCTAACTAGGTTTCTTTCTTTTTTTAGTTAATTTTTTGATATTTGATTGTATTAAGATCATGACAGCTACAAATACTGTTGTCATTTTCTCTTTTCTAATAATTACATTTCTTTGTTCCTTCTCTTATATAATTGTGCTTTTAAGACAATGACTAATAATAATAGAAGAAATTCTTATTTTTGTTAGATAATTTGAAGGGAATGGTTCTTAAATTTTACCATTAAATATGTCAAAATGTGGTTTGAAAGATATTTATATTAATACTCATAAAATCAATAAAACTGTAAAAAAGAAAAATGCATATATTTATTCAACTTTTAGGAAATACTCTTACCAGGGAGAGATATTAAATTCTGGTAAAAGTTTGGCATTTTGAAATGGACTTTTTTTAAATACTTTTAGCATATTAATAAGTTGAAAGATTTCCAAAATAGTAACATCCTTGGATATATATAATGACTTTGATTTGCTTATGGTATAATTTCAATTTAATGTATTACTATTTTTTAAAATACTCATTTTAGGATTTTGCATCAATCATATCAAGTGATTGTCAAGGAAACTAACGACAGAAACAAGGAAACCAGTGGACTAAATAGAAGGAGGGGTGATACTCTAATTTTTGTCTGCTCTAGGCCTTCCTTCCAAACACACACTCCTTACTATTAGTCTGATTCGCTCCTCTGTAGCTGTCAACAGTTTAATTCCTCCATTAGAAAATGGCTGATCCTTTGGAACTGAAGTGCAAAAATTCCAAGAAAGGGACACACTGAACAGTGCATGTTAGAGAGAGCTTACTTCTGCTACAACCCTAAGGAGTTAAGGAAAGGGAAAACACAAGAATGGAGGAAGCTAAAACAATGGTGGTTGAGAGACAGGAGGGGTTGGGGAGGAATGAAACAAAGTGCTTGAGTTTCAATTCCAGAAGAAGAACTTAGGACGTTTCTACATGTTCTATCTGTTACTTAGGGAAGGAACTCTAAAATTTTGCACAAGATGGACTAGGAATTATTCCAACTGAGTTAATTTGCACTAGAATTAATGGTACGAATATTCTGAATTATAGAAAAAAGTAAAAGTTGAATTTTCTTCCATGTCATTGGCACAAAAATAGCTTTTTTCCAACGAGCATTTTAAGATAAGAAAATAGAAAATTTAACAAGCATCAGGACAGGTTTTATTTATAAACTTACTTCTTCTCCAAAACTTTTATTTGTGGTTGTGGTTTTGCATCATATGGATTTAATATAGTTATCTATTCTACCAGCTAAAATACTCATGAGAAAATTAATAAGCTTTCATGCTAGTCTGCAAAATAAGCCCCAACTTCCAGGTCTTCACATAGCACTTTGTCATTTTCCTTCATAACAATTGTAAAATTGGTTGTTAAATGTCTGTGTGGTTAAGTAAAGCATGAGGTCTAAGCTTTCTGGTTCATCATTGGATGCTTAATACCCAGAATGAATAAAACAGATCATGGTATGAATGAATGAGCGCTTGAATTATTAATAAATGGCAAATTGTACTGATTAGTGGATTACGATAGTCACTACTTCCTGCCTCATATTCAAACTAGATGCACATCTGCACAATTTCTGCTACTGCTGGCTAACTTATTTAATGTCTTACAAGGGGATTAAAGTGAAGGTTAGAACAGGAAAGCCCATTTTTCTCACTGGAGTTTAAGAATGAAAGATACAGTAAGCACAGAGAAGCTTTGATGATTGAGTCATCAGGCCATGTGGCTCCACTGGAGTCCAGAATAAGGACATAGATCTATACCTGCTTTTCTTAGATCCCTGCCTTATCTACTTGCCTGGGCATCAAGGCAGCCTAGTCAGCTTTCTTTAGGTTGCACTATGTTCTTGCTTTTCTCTCCCTGTAGCACTGTGGCTGCCAGCATCAATGCCTTAGCAACAGTGACCTTTGAGGACTTTGTCAAGAGCTGCTTTCCTCACCTCTCCGACAAGCTGAGCACCTGGATCAGTAAAGGCTTATGTAGGTACAGCCAATAAACCTTCTATTCCATATCATGAAATGTTCATGTCGAAATACTGCATGTGCTGTTCAGGATACACCTACAGCCACAAATGCACTGGAGATAGATGAGGAAGCTCACATACAGATCCTTACAGTTTCAACAGTACCAGGGTTGGGGGTTGGGGGTCAGGAAAGAATGGCCAGCTAGCTATCCTCCCACTAACCTTGTTTTCACAGAAACACTTCTGTGTTCACACTCCACTCCACAGGCATCACATGAACATCTCTTGATTATGCTGTGCTGACCATAATAGTACCCTGCATGGGAAAATGTTCTGCTCACTTTGCCAGTCACTTTGCCCAGTTCAGACAAATTCTTTTCTAAAACATCCTTTATTACCAAACTCCTAGTAATCTCACCTCAAAGAATAATTGCTCTTCACTTAATCATGTAATTGCACATTTGTTAGCATTGTGACACTTATACTAAATTATAGTTTTACAAAGTTTTATTTTTTTAAGTATAAACAAATTATATGCTTATTTTCTTATTATAGAAAATGTAGGTAATTTAGAAAAGTATTATGACTTTAAAAATAAAATTATAGCTGTCTAATTTTGTTCCTGGTTATTTTTTTTTTTCCTGGCATGTTATAGTGAGCACTTTTCTGTGTCATTTGTGTATTCTTTGAAAACATGGTTTTTTAAATGACAGCTTAATATTTTACAAAACGTCTTATTTTCATATTATCACTTGTGATTCTTTTGTTCATTTTTTTTGTAACATTACTATGCCCTGGAAAGTTCTATCTTCATCATTCCGGACAATCCCTGCCCCTACTCACCTCCAGAGGCAGCTACAATTAAAATATTTTCCACCATAAATTTGTTTTATCTCTTCTAGAATTTCATATAAAGTCACACAGTATGCACTGTTTTGTAAGTCATTTCACTCAGAATAATATTTCTGAGATTTATCTTTGTTGTTTTGATATCAGTATTTCATTTCTTTTTATAGCAGAATAGTATGAAATTGCATGGATATACCATAGTTTTTAAATTTCTATTTCTGATGGGCCTGAACTGTATCAGTTTGAGGTTATAGTGAATAAAGTTGTTGTGCTCTTGTACAAGTCTTTTTGTGAATATGTTTTCATTTCCCTGGTAAATACAAAGGAGAGGAAGTTCTTGGCCAGCTATCATGGTTATGAACTTTCTTGTACTCTTTTCTTACCACATCTGACCATCTTCATCTAAATATTTTGGTTTTGCATCCTATCTTGCTGTTTTAAAGCTCATTTATTTTCACCTAACCTATATTTGTTTGCATTATTGAATCTACATATATTTGTAGCATATTAAGATGGCAAAATATTTTGAATATTTTTTTTTCTGATACCTAAGGCAAATTATTTCCAGAAATTATACTTTTTGTTTGAGCCTTTAATTTAATATATTCATCCCGTTTGACAACATTTTACCATAGGTTCCCCCCACCACCTTTTTTCTCCTTACTTAGGTTTGAACAAGGAGAAAGAGATGCTGACACAGGGATGGTAACTGGATAGGTGAATTGCCTTGATACTATACATTGTCTTGCATAATAAGAAAGACAAATGGCATGTAGATGAGCATTAGCCCCAGCAGAATTCCCAGTTTCTAGCAGATATTCATGAATTTGCTGGATTGAGGTAGAATTTTCTCCTATGCTTATGGTTTATTGTCCAATGCTGTGAGCTGAGAGAACACAGGGAAAATCCACAGCATTTGCTATCACTGTGGAGCTTTCTCTACATTCCACAATTCTGTTTTGTCTGCAGAGCCATACACTCCAGATCTCGCTGAACTCCCACCAATTTCCCCTAAACTTTCTGCCTCTCAGTTTGCTATTGATTGCAATCTGATGGAAGTATAAAGATTTGAGGAAAGGAAAACTGAATCAATTCCCTCATCAGCACATAAAAGTAGTAGCCCTGGATTGAGGGCTGACTGTCTAGAATCTTGTTTGAACAGATAAAAGAGGATAATCATTAGTAGAGAGAAAATACTTTTTTGTTATTATTCCTTCAGGCAGATAGTAATTCTTATTCATGAAAATACAGACTCAGAGCAAATATTTTTTTCCACAATCTAATTTTTCATCTTTAAAAATAATGAGTACAATTTTAAGAACTAAAAGTGTTTAATAATAAATTTTGGTTTTTAGTTTTTGAGTTTTCTTATTTGCCTATGTCTTCTTGAGAAATTAGTAAATAAGGTATCAAAAGCCACAATCTGGTTTCATTTTAAGAGTGAGTTCCTAATAATATCATTGTACTAAATATTAAATAATTAATATTAATAATCACAACAAACATAGGGCACTTGTATGTGCCAAACACTGTTCTGGAAAGTTCATACCCACTTTCGTTGCTAATGCTTTTTCTTTTCCTCAAACCCCGATGTGCAGTCCCTTCCTAGAATGTGACATCTTTGGGTCTGTAATGAAATGCTGAAATTATGACCATGGCATCTAGTGAAGTGCTGACATATGGTCAATACACAATAAAACTGAAATAAAAGTCACACTGGGAATGAAATTAGAAATTTAGCTTAGAGAAAATTTCAAACAGAATGAATAATATCATTTTCTCTCCATTGCTGCCATTGTGTCCCTATTTCAGTCTCCAACTGCCTAACTCTTATTTAGTTTATGGGTTACAACAGGAATTGAATGTACTTTTATGCTGATTTCTCTACAAATTGAGCAAAACCAATATGTCCTTTGAAAGATTGTTTAAAAGAAGTCATAATCCTAAAAGATGACTAAGGCATTAATGCTGATTAATTCAGTGAAATCCTCTGATACTAGAGGCACCTTGGAATTGCTCAGAGCTTAGAACCCTGAAGGCCCTGAGGCTACTCAGGCTTAGAGATGTAAACAAATCCAGCTTTATGTGAAGTGAGAAGCACCAGAAGGAGGGTGTGAATAAAGCACTATGGGAAAAGATCCAAATGCTTGTTAGATTTGCAAAGCCTGAAAAACGCCCTCTTCATGTATTTAGCCATTTTAAAGATGAAGAACTGAGGTTAGTTACTGCTTCTTCAGCTGACTGCTGATGAGAAGTTGGAGCTGCAGCTGCAATTAGTCTGGATTAGTCTAGACCAGTAACCTTCCCACATTTTCTCATTGTTTCCACATTTCTTAAATCCTGGAGAAAAAACAAACAAACAAACAAAAAACATCTTTGAGGCTGGTTTCCATTTCATTCTGCCTGAACTAGAAAAAGATGGCTGCAGGAGAAACGTCCCCTCACTGCCCCTCTGGAGGCTTGTGATGACTGAGTGGAAAGAGTTCTTAGCAAGGGCCATTCCAGCAGGGTATATGCATCAGATGGCCCAGGGCAGGCACTCAGGGAATCCCTCAAAGCCCATTTAGATGATCATCACAAAAATGTTCTTTTCTTTCAGGTCTCTTATTTGGCGTTATGTGTACCTCCATGGCTGTGGCAGCTTCCCTCATGGGGGGTGTCGTGCAGGTAATGAAACAAGGCGAAAAACGTTCGATTTCATAGCAAGTTCAACCCTCTTTTCTTTTCTAATGCTTTACCTATTCCTCCAAGGTCCAAATGTTGAGACTCACTGATCCCAGGTACAAATTTAACATACATGTAAAATTTCAACCAAAATGGCTTTCAGGAGAAGCTATTAATAGGATTCAGTGATAAGGCACCCTGGAATAAAATTAGAGACACTTACAATCCACATCTAAGAATTTATGATACTTAAATAAAAGTAACAATGATAATCATAATAGAAAAAAAATACTAAATTGCCATTTATAGTCCCAAATGGATTATCTCATTTAATCTTCATCACTTGTCTAAAAGGTAGTATGATTAATGTACAGATTTTACCGTTGAAGAAACTAAGAAGTCAAGATGTAAAGTAACTGTTCCAAATGAACACAATTAAGAGTGGTGGAGTTAGGACATGAACCCACTTCTACCTATTATCTGGGTTACACTCCCTCCCCCATGACTGCTACCAGTCTACAAAATGTCAGTGCTAAAGGAGTGTTAAGGAAGATCTGTTTCCATTTCTTCATTCTGAGCATGATTTAAAAAAGGAGTGAAGATACCCCACTCTAGTTCTCACAGCTAGTTTGTGACAGAACCTGCTCTGTGACCTAAGACTCTCAAGCCACCCCTTTCCTCCCCAAACATCAAAGCATCATCAGATAATTAAATATTCAGATTCTACTTTTACCTTGGCGATTCCCCTCGTGTCTTTGCACAATTTGAACATTCTTACTATTTTCTTGGCATGGCCTCCATTAAATGCTGCTTACATGAAGAAATGAGTAAACAGAAATTACTATTAGAGAGATTATAGATTCTTAAACTGACTACATTCCAGTTCACAGAGCAGTGTCTCTTACACAATCCTTTCAATGACTACTACGTAGGTTTCGTTATTTCCGTTTTAAGCAGCAGGGAACTAAGTCTGGGAGGGTTATGTGCCATGGCAAATGAACTTGTCTGCATAAGAGAAGCTGTGTGACTGGAAACTGGTATGTATTTTCTCTAACAGGCACTTATCATTTTATGCTTGTCAGGAGAGGCTCAATAAGCAATCTTGAAGCACTTAGATATCTAGATACACATCCAAGCAACAGACCTGGCAAGCTGGTGAGGTCTGTCTTTCATGACCTCAGTAGCATCCTTTTAAATTCTCCCATTCAAAGTGCATATATTTCCAAGTTGTAGCTGATGCCTTGGGCCTCATTGCTTTCTCCCCTTGATGCACTATTTATTTTGTAGTTAGACTATTTTTGTTGAGGTAACACTGGTATACAGCACTGTATGTGTTTTAGGTCTATATGTCCTCAAATGTGTCACTACACGACGCCCACCACCAAAGCACCCAAAATCCTCCACCACAGTCCATTGGAATCACTTTCCCCTCTGCTTCCTACCCCCTACCTTTCCCTTCTTTAACCTCAGTTCTGTAGTCAGATGTCAAGAGTTTGTTTTGGTTCAGTTTTGGCCGTTCTTTTGTTGTTTCTTTATTTTTTTTTTTTTTTTAAATATTAAATTTTATTTTTATATTCCCCCATACAATTGCAAACGCCCCATTCTGACCCCAATCCTTCCCCTCCCGCCCCCCACCCCCCAAAAAGTGTCTCTGGTTCATAGTTTTTTGTTGATTTTGATTTTCACTTTCTTATATTCATTTTCCTGGTCCCTTATTTAAGTTTTCTAGATTCCTGCTATGAGTGAGACCATCTGGTATTTTTCTTTTTGGCTTATTTCACTGAGCATGATCCCTTCCAGTGCCATCCATGTTGCTGCAAATTGCATGTGTTTATCTTTTTTGAATGCTGAGTAATATTCCATGGTATATATGTACCACATCTTCTTGATCCAGTCATCTATTTTTGGGCATTTGGGTTGTTTCCAAAGCTTAGCTATTGTAAACAGTGCTGCTATAAACATAGGAGTGCAGGTGCTCTTTGGAATTGATGTTTCTGTGTCCTTTGGGTAAATACCTAGGAGTGGAATTGCTGGATCATATGGAAGCTCTATGTTTAGTAGGTCCAGAAATCTCCACACAGCTCTCCATAGTGGTTGGACCAGTTTGCACTCCCACCAACAGTGCACAAGAGTTCCTTTTTCTCCACATCCTCGCCAACATTTGTTGTTGCTAGTTTTTTTAATATGTGCCATTCTCACTGGTGTGAGATGGTATCTCATGGTAGTTTTGATTTGCATTTCCCTGATGACAAGTGATGTTGAACATTTTTTCATATGCCTGTTGGCCATTTGCATTTCCTCTTCAGAGAAGTTTCTTTTTAGCTCTTCTGCCCATTTTTTGACTAGATTATTTTCTTTGTTGTTGCTGAGTCTCATCAGCTCTTTGCAGATTTTTGTGATCAGTCCTTTATCATTAGTGTTGGGTGCAAAAATGTTCTCCCAGTTGGTGGGGTTTCTCTTTGTTTTTGTTATTGTCTCTTTTGCTGTGCAGAAGCTCTTTAATTTGATGTAGTCCCAGCTGTTTATCTTTCTCTTCACTATCACTGCTTTGGGTGATGTGTCTGTAAAGATGTCTTTGATGTGCAAATCCCGTAGTGTTTCGCCTATATTTCCTTCTATGTATTTTATGGTTTCAGGTCTTATGTCTAGTTCTTTAATCCATTTTGAGTTGATTTTTGTGTATGGTGTGAGGTAGTGGTCAAGCTTCATTCTTTTGCATGTAGCGACCCAGTTTTCCCAGCACCATTTATTGAACAAACTTTCTTTGCTCCAATGCATAGTCTTTGCTCCTTTGTCAAAGATTAGTTGACCATAAATCTGTGGGTTTATTTCTGGATTTTCTATTCGATTCCATTGGTCTGTATGTCTGTTCTTGTTCCAATACCATGCAGTTTTGATGATTATGGCTTTGTAGTATAGTTTGAAGTCTGGGAGTGTGATGCCTCCATTTCCTTCTTTTTTTTTCAGTAGAGCTTTGGCTATTCGGGGTTTTTGGTGATTCCATATGAATTTCATCAATAATTGTTCTATTTCTTTGAAGAATGCCATTGAGATTTTGATTGGAATAGCATTGAATCTGTATATTGCTTTTGGTAGGATGGCCATTTTAATAATGTTTATTCTTCCAATCCATGAGCAGGGCATGTCTTTCCATTTCTTTGTGTCTTCTTCTATTTCTTTTAACAGTGTTTTATAGTTTTCTTTGTATAGGTCCTTTACCTCTTTTGTTAGATTTATTCCCAAATATTTGATTTTTTTTGTTTCGATAATAAAAGGGGTGGTTTTTTTGATTTCTTCTTCTTCAGATTTATTGTTTGTGTATAGGAAGGCTACTGACTTTTGCGTGTTGATTTTGTATCCTGCCACTTTACTGAATTGATTGATGAGTTGAATTAGTTTTTCTGTGGAGATTTTGGGGTTCTCTATGTATATTATCATATCATCTGCAAATAGTGATAGTTTGACTTCTTCTTTTCCTATTTGGATTCCTTGTATGTCTTTCTCTTGTCTTATTGCTCTGGCTAGGACTTCCAGTATTATATTGAAAAGCAGTGGTGAGAGTGGACATCCTTGTCTTGTTCCAGATCTTAATGGAATTGCTTTCAGCTTTTCACCATTGAGAATGATACTGGCTGTTGGCTTGTCATAGATGGCCTTTATGATGTTGAGGTATGTTCCTTGTATCCCAAGAATTTCAAGGGCTTTTATCATGAATGGGTGTTGCACTTTGTCGAAAGCTTTCTCAGCATCTATTGATATTATCATATGGTTTTTATATTTCTTTTTGTTGATGTGTTGGATAACGTTGATTGATTTTCGGATGTTAAACCATCCTTGTGCCCCTGGAATGAATCCAACTTGGTCGTGGTGAATTATCTTATGGATACATTGTTGGATTCTGATAGCTAAAATTTTATTGAGGATTTTTGCATCAGTGTTCATTAGGGAGATTGGCCTATAGTTTTCCTTTTTTGTGTTGTCCTTATTCGGTTTTGGTATTAGTGTAATATTGGCTTCATAGAACGTGTTTGGTATTGTCCCTTTATATTTTACATGCAAATGCAATCATCTTGTATTTACTGTTAAGGTAGTAGCATCACATCCAATTTGCTGATAATTTGAATCATTTCTCTGAACACATATGATTTGACAGATGCAGAAAGGCAACTGCAATTTCCCTATTTAATTTTCCAAATAGCTTGACTACCTTGAATTTAATAGGACAGCATTCATATTCAGGGTTAATGCATGGGAAGACGGAAACCAAGGCCCCTGGGTGTGAGGGATAGATCCAAGTTTAATTTCAGGTTCTCAACACTAATCCATTTCATTGTGTATATTTATGGCTGTTGTTGGGTGTGGGCAGATTGAAACTTTTTAAACAAAGGCATTTTCAATATTTTAGTTTATAGTTTTACAAACTGCACTCTGGAGCTAAACATCCTATGAAATGCTCCTAAAGAAAATTTCCAAAGTTAACAATTTTTAGGACAAGCTGCACCCAGCAGTTGCCTCTCAGAAATTCACAGTATACATTAGCCTACTGAAGAATCTGGGAAGATCTATATTGAAATAACTTGTTTTACTTTAAATCTGAGGCCACAGGGCCATAAGTGGGTGAAGAAAGAAGAAAGGGGTGTGGGCAGATAGTAGCAGCAAAAGTCTCCTGTTAACTAGTGACTGCAGAGCTTCCAGTTGAGAAAGGTCATTCTCTCCATTTTGCTATTATCTAGAGACCATCAGTGAACTGCTAAGGGCTAAGAGCTTTAATGACTCCCAGGATAATTTTATCTCAACTAGAAAAACGTTTTCTATATCTCAAAACAGTTCAATAATGAATTTACTTACTTCAGAAATCAGAGACTTGAGTAACATGGTAGGTAACCATAGTAATACTAACAATACAATGACAATAGCGCATAATATCTGGGGTGGCACTTCAGAGGACTCTCTAGTCAGAACTTTCTCTTGGATTCTATAATGAATATTCACCCAAAAAACCCCTGAAACACATTGTTGTGATCCCCTCTTGACATATGAGAATGTTAAGGCACAGCAAGCCTATCCCAACCCTAAGATACATGTTCGGAATCACTGCCCTCCCCCTGCGGGGCCAGTGAGGCTATTCCCTGAGTTTTAAGTCTTCCTTCATGCTTAGTGACAATAATAAAAAGGATAAAATTAGGATTAGCTTAATTATACACATTACAAAAAAATACATATTTTTAAATCCAGAAGCTCTTTTTTTTTTTCCCCTATCAAGTGAAGACCTTTTTTCCCCAGTGCCATATTGGCTAATTACTTTTTAAGATACTGTTATTTTCTTTCTCCCCCACAGGGGGAGATAAACACCTTCCCTAACTTATTCCCTTTCCCATAGTATAGCTCTTAAGTTCGCTGCCACATTCAGCAATCAGAGGAACTGTGGATTAATGCTATCAATCAACAGAGAAAATGTTAAGAATATAAAATTAAGTATTGATTTTGGGGGGAAGTTTAGCTTTTCTCTTTTCTATCTCCTCTTATAAGTGATTTATCTATGTCAGTGACTTCTCTAAATTAACCTGGAAAAACAATAACATTGCAAGCAGCTCATCTTTTTTGGACAAAAGCACTTACCTTACAGTTGGAGGGGACTGAAGATGCTTTGGTTTTTGCACTTTTATATAGAAGACTTTCTGCAGTAGAATACATCTGAGTTAACAAAAGAAGTTTTGACAAATTGTGGTTATGTGTTGCAGGACCAAATTAGAACCCAAATAATCTATTATAACTTTTTTCTCCACATACAAAGTAAGGCCATTAAAGTGGTCTGTGCTCTCTCTTTTTTTTTTTTTAAATTGAGGTAGCATTCAGATACAATACTATGTTTTAATAGTAATAGTATGGTTTACACCTCCATCAATGTATCATACAACTTACCCACCATTGAAAAGGACTAGTTACTATCTACCACGGTCCAGTTCACCCCATCTCCCTTTTTCCCCCACACCCCTTTTTTCTGTGCACTGGTAGCCACTATTTTGCTGTCAGAGGATAAAGTTTTGTTTGTTTGCTTTGTTCCTTTGTAATCACATATGAGTGAAATAATTTGGTATTTGTCTTTATTTTTATGGCTTATTTTCAACATAACCACCTCAAGTTAAATTCATGTTTTTACTCACCTTTTTTTAAGATTTATTTTTATTTATTTATGCATACAAGAACTGAGATGTAAGCTAGAGGTCCCAGGGTGGGGGTGTGTGAGAGGATTCGCCAGAGACAGAGTGGGGAGCAGAACAGGAGAATCTACTGAAATACACTGCTGAGGGGAGCAGCAGGCAAGATAGGCGAGGTCTGCTGAGCCATGTGGGCCAGGGATTTAACTCATGCCTCAGTGGCTGGCTATGATAGCTTGATGGGCTGAGACATTAACCCCTGTGCCACCAGGGAAGCCCTCAAATTTTCTTTTATTTTTTTTTTATTTTTTTTTTTTAATTTTTTTTCTAATAGAGGCATGTTTATTTATTTATTTATTTATTTATTTGTTTTATTTATACATGCACTGGGTACAGTCCGAAGCGCGGGAGGGTGAGGGAATTCACCAGAGCCAGAGCGGGGAGCAGAGCAGGCAGAAGGACCGAAATACACTGCTGAGGGGAGCAGCGGGCGGCAGGAGAGGTCTGCGCGCCATGTGGGACCCTCCTCCGGTGGCCGGGGAGCAGCCGGGGATCGAACCAGCGGCGCGGAGGCCGCGGGCAGCTTCGCAACCCAGCGCTCAACCACTGCGCCACCGGGGAGGCCCTCAAATTTTCTTTTAAAAGACTGTGTTTAGGAGAGCAAGTGTGAGTTTTAAGTGACACACCTGTCTTGTATCTCAACTGACCTTTGGAACTATACCTTTAATATCTTCATCTCTTGGGGCCTCCATGGTGGCACAAGAGGTTAAGCACAGCACTGTGAAGCTAGCCACAGCCTCTGCAGCATGAGTTAGATCCCTGGCCCAACCAGGGAACTGCCCACATGGTGCAGCAGACCTCTCCTGTCTCTCCTACTGCTCCCCTCAGCACTGTATTTCAGTCAGTCTGCCTGTTTTGTTCCCCACTCTGTCTCTGGTGAATCCTCTCACCCCCCACCCCTCTGGCCTGTACCCCAGTTCTTGTATGCATAAATAAATCTTAAAAAAAAAACATCTCTCAGTTCAATTTTCTCCTCTATAAAATTTAAGTAATGCGACCTACTAAAGACAGCAATTTTAAGGATTCAACGAGGGCATTCCATTAGGTGTCTGATTAACATGAGATAAGGTCTTCAGAGCATTCTGTCTCAGCCTCCCAACAGTTAATGGAAACAGAAGGGGCTATACTGCAGAGTAACTCTGTGCATACATGTATACACATGTGCTCACTCAGATACACGCAGAGTCTGTGTGTGTTCCAGGCACCTCAGAAGGCCATGCACAAAGTTAAAGATCGACAGCAAATTATCTTGATGAAAGTCACCCTGTCAATTCACTGGGCTCAATAACTTAGAGGCTGAGATGTAGATTCATCAATTTAAATTCATTAAATTTCTAAAAGAGACAGTGTCGTAAAGATGGAATATGGGATACAGACTGTGCTCCAGTTGCCACATCATGTGCTTACTAATGTTTCAAAATCTTTGAAATATTCTGGCTAGAAAGGGAGAAGTAACACAATTACCTTATATGATAAGAGAGGTAAGTTATAGATATGTTTATTTGGTATATTTTAGAAAATTTTTTGAGAAGATAGAAAATATAAATGAATCAATGAGTGCCCACTTTAAGGAAACCTCTACCAAATCTAAATTACCTGTGTTGTATGTATATATATGTATACAGATGTAGACATGTTTATCTATATTTTTATTTCTTATACAATGCTTAGCAGTGAGCTCAGAAGGGAGAAACGATTTCCAGAGTGCAATTGGTTAATGAGTGGAATCATGAGGACCAAGAATGAACTTGTCCCTGGTCCAAGAGAGAGAAGTGGTCTCGGGTGGCCAATGACTCCCTCAGAGTGGTGCATCATCTGATTTGTTTTGTTTCCCAGGCGGCCCTGAGCATCCATGGCATGTGTGGGGGCCCCATGTTGGGCTTGTTCTCTCTGGGAATTGTGTTCCCGTTTGTGAACTGGAAGGTAAGGACCCTGCAACCCCCTTCACTCTTCCCAGCTAAGTCTGACCCCCAGTTAGTCTCTCTCTTCTCACTCCTTCTTGGAAAGGTCACTTTGTCTTTGCCAGTTAAAAGAAATGTTAACTCCTTTCCATGGTAGAACTAAACAGAACCTGTGCTCTCTTATTTCTGACTTCAGTGAAGCCTTTTTAGAAGCAGAAAATAGAAAAAAAAATAAGAGGAGGTTGTGAAAAGTGTCATAGCCTCAGAGTTGATTTTTTAGGGCTTAAGGGTCTTAAGAACCCACAAAATGAAATTTAAAATAGGTACTACACTGGGAAATAGGTTAAAACCCAACTTTGAAAACTTTAAAAAACATGTAAACTTTGCTCTTTCTACATTAAGTTACTAAAATTATAACTAATCTTATTAATTATCTAATTAATTAGCTAAATAAAAAGGAAAAGGAGACAAGCCTGGTATACTCTATACCTTCAGAGTTTTGTTGATGGACAAGCTAAGAGTATGTGTTTATGTAAGAGTTGATTGCATGGCTGTGCGGTAAGTAGAAATTAAAATGAGCATTTGGAAAAATAATAATATTTGGAATATTTAAAATAGGCATTTCACTAATTGTCATCAATAAACACATACTTTTTTATTATTTTTTTTAAGATTTATTTATTTATACAAGCACTGGGTACAGTTAGAAGTGCGGGAGGGTGAGAGAATTCACCAGAGCCAGAGCAGGGAGCAGAGCAGGCAGAAGGACCGAAGCACACTGCTGAGGGGAGCAGCGGGCGGCAGGAGAGGTCTGCGCGCCATGTGGGACCCTCCTCCGGTGGCCGTGGAGCAGCCGGGGATCGAACAGGCGCTGCAGAGGCCGCGGGCAGCCTTGCAACCCAGCGCTCAACTGCTGCGCCCCCGGGGTGGCCCATATTTTTAGAAAGATTTTAAACTCCAGAAAACCAGACTTTATGTATATTTTTAAATATACTCTCAGATAGTGGATAAACTTGGAGCCCCTGGTAAAGCTAATGAGGTCTCTGTGGCTACCTGACCATAATGACCACTATTCTAGCTAAATCTTGTGGGACTAGGAAAAGAGAATGGAGAGGGCGGGGGAACATTTGGGGATTTGCATTTCTTCTCCTGCAGCCTTATTAAGATACACTAGTTTTAATAAAAATCAACTGGACAGTTATGTCCTTGGGAAAAAAAAAATATGAGGAAAAGCAATTTCCTAGTCGCAGTAAACTAATTACTAGTTACATAACATCTTAGTGCATTAAAACATTAGTCTGTTCCCTATGGCAGTGAACTGTGGTCCTATTTAGTCAGAAAAACTACTCTGTTCTGGAGAGAGGGTAGTAAGTGTACAAATTTGTGTCATTTTGTCTCCTTGGACATCGCTGATCCTACTAATCATTCATGGTTCTCTTTCCATATAACATGGATCCTCTCAACTTGGCTCTCCAGATAGCTACCATAAATTAGTGAGGGATGCAGCTTTTTTGAAATCCATACATCCTTTACTAGTAGTCCAGAGCTCAGTGAACCTATTACTCTGAAGTCAAATCCAGCTAGGCTGCAGTTTTGGGTTTGATGGGCAAGCTAAAAGCCAATTTGATGTTTTTAAATGGTTGGGAAAAAATCAAAAGAAGACTAACTTTTAATGACATATAAGTATTATATGAAATTCGCATTTGAGGTCCCACAAATAGTTTTATTGAAACACAGCTACTGTGCCTTGTTTACCCATGCCAATGACTGTTTCTGCTTTACAAATGGTAGACTTGGGGCCTCCCCTGGTGGCACAGTGGTTGAGCACTGGGCTGCGAGGCTGCCCACAGCCTCTGCAGCACTGGTTTGATCCCTGGCTGCCGGAGAGGGTCCCACTTGGCACGACAGACCTCTCCTGCCATGCCCGCTGCTCCCCTCAGCAGTGTATTTCGTTGGTCTGGTCTGCCTGTTCTGTTCCCCACTCTGGTTCTGGTGAATTCTCTCACCCTCCTGTGCTTCTGACTATACCCAGTGCTTGTATAAATAAATAAATAAATCTTTAAAAAAAAAAAAAAACAACAAATGGTAGAACTGGGTTGCTGTGACAGATACTGCATATCCACGAAACCTCTAATATTTATTAGCACTTTATAACAGAATCTTGTGGGTCCCCCACAGAGATTTGGCCATCTTGGGGAGACCACAATACCCAGGTTTTATTTTCCTGTCTTCCTGATCTCTGCAATACTATCTGTCTTCTATACAGGAGACATGGTCATGGACTTTTCACTGTTTATCAAGAAATAGAACCCTTAATGACATGACTAGTAAATAACAAAGGCCTACAACTTTTGTTCTCTGTCAGAATCACTGGGGAAGAGATATGAAGCAAGAATTTCTTTTAATAGCTGTCTATAAAAAATGACTTGTAATGTCTCCATTATCTGAGTTTTCCCCAAATTTATGAAATCTTTTACTAGGAATTGAGTTTCAACAGATTTTTAAGTAATAAGAGAAAGAAGTCAAAAAGGAAAAAAAGTTCCTGCTAAAAATCTAAATATAGTGATTATGAGAAAATCTTTCAGTGTCTTCATTTAAGGAACAAGTTGCTGCTAAATAAGTCTGCATTGTGGGAGTTGGGAGGAAAGCAGTTTGAGCGGTCTGTTTCCAGGATGTATGGCTAAAAACTGAGGTAGAAAGTCAGAATCTCAGAGGCGCAGGACCCCTTACCTCGTGCTTTTTTCAACTGTTTTGTTAAATATATTATTTCTATTTTCTTTAAGGGTGCACTAGGAGGCCTCATAATTGGAATCGTCTTGTCATTTTGGGTGGCCATTGGGGCCTTCATTTACCCTGCACCAGCCTCCAAGACATGGCCGTTGCCTTTATCCATAAATCAGTGTGCCCTCCCCAATGTCACGGAATCAGTGCCTCCAGTGCTATCCAGCAGGTAAGGTCACATTAAAGGGGACATTCAGCCTCAGAGTGTGGGTAACCAGGTGAGAGAAGGTAGGAGCATTCCTCAGCGATGAGTTTGAGGAGACAGACCTTGCTTTTCTGTGAGTGTTATTCTGGGCAGTGCCCGGCGTTGAAAAGTGTCCTGTAGGGTCTGGCTTTCTGCTGGTATCCATTCCTCTGCCTTTTAGAGTATAAGTATGAACTGGTGAAGAGTTAGAGGTGTGAGAACAAAGCAGAAAAATTAGCAAAGGATTTGAAAATAGGGGGGATGGGTATGAACATCATAGTATATCCTTAAAAGAATCTGAACAGAATTTTGTGGGCCACGAGGAAAGAGACTGTGGACATAGTGAGTTAGGAGCACTGCTGTGAACTATTAGTTTCTAAATCAAACCATACAGAGTTTAACAAAAGATTTTTCTCTTCTATTTCTGGCTGGGATAAGTAATTTATGATACCAATAAATAGGAGGTAATATGGTATAGGAAAAGACCATGGGCTTTGAAATGAGAAATACCTGGGTTTATATTTTGGTTTTACCATTTACCTAATTTATATCTTTGTACAAGTTAGTAATTTGTTACCTTTTGAATTCTTAGAGTCCTTTGATGAAAAATGAGGTTAATAGTATTTACTTGAATGGATCTCTGAGAGGACTAAATAAAATAGGAAATATCTAGTGAGCAGCACTGTACCTGATTTTAATAAATGTTGATTCTCACATAATTATATCAAGGAACAAATCTAAGAAATGTAGGATTTATGGCTTTTGTAGACAGAACAGTATCTCAGTTTTGTCAGTGCTCCTCTGATTTTCCTCATTTTTACTTGGCCCTGTCCTCTAAAAATACTAAATAATTTGGAAAACTCCATTTATGAAAATCTCTCTAGACCTAGCATCCCTTCTTTACATGGCCCATGTCATTCCTGAGGCCAATCTCAAAAATACGAAGTCCAGGAAGGTAAACTTATCCTCATTGTACTATTGGTTTCCCTCATTTCTTTCCCCTCTCTTTCTTTCTAATCTATCCTTTTAAGCTGCCCATAGATGTATTTCCTTAAGCACCTTTTGAATTCATGATTGCTGCACTGAGAATTATAATGCCCCATGTGCCTACAGAATAATGACAGATTTACTGGAATTAAGTATCTTCCAAGATTTGAAATTTCTAGTCAAATATGTAGATTCTGTGACTTATCTTTTTATCCCAAATGTTGGTTATAATTTCTGGTGCTAAATCTGGACTTGAATAAAGATCTAGTTACTAAGCAATACAAATGATGTAGAAGGCATGGTGCTCACTAATTCTTATAACTCAGTACTTGCATACAAAAGTTATAATTTAGTGACAGATTGGATTCAGTGGAATATAAAGCACAACTAGTCTATAGTCTAGTCTTTTAAAAAATAACCAAATGGCAAAAAGTTAAGTTTGGGAATTTTGAGAGATGCTAGGTATTGAAATGAGCCCTCAGCAACCTGACTTCTCAGTCATAACTTCAGGACTCATGGAACTAGCGACATGTGTTTTCCTCCACAGACCTGCAATCGCTGACATGTGGTATTCGCTCTCCTACCTTTACTACAGTGCAGTAGGCTGCCTAGGATGCATTGCTGCTGGAATAATAATCAGCTTCCTAACAGGTTGGTTATATAGATTCCTCTGTTTGTCCATGGCTGATGTCCCTCTACAGTTAGAGTTAATTAGCTGCAACAAGGACCTACAATATTTACTGTCTAATTCTTAGCAAAACTGTTGACTTCTGTTCCTGGTCATTGATCTTGTTACAGGAAATTTCTGGATTACTTTCCAAATTGTCAGGAAATATGCAGATCTATATGATGATCAGACAAAGCTCAATTACTTTTCTAGCTTTTGGGTTGCTACAGATAATTCTGATTTCTGATCCTTATTTGGGATCTATTTTACCTCCCCAACTCATGCACACATCCCTTTCTGTTGAAACTATATTCCTAGGTTTCTAGAATTTTGTGTTCCCCCATTAAACCCTTACCACTCCTCATCTGCCCTTCCTCTGATTTCCCATTCCTGGTAAGCCAGTGTCTCAACTTGAAATATTAAGATCTACATTGTTTTCTTTATATTTTTCTAGAAGGAAAATATAGAAAAAGCTGTGGACATGCACTGTCTGGCACTTCGGAGAAATTTGATCACTGAGTGTAACACAGCACTCCATTACTCCTTCTAGGGAAATTTAGGCTAAACTGGATCAGATTAAAGACTTTTGTATGAGATTGGGTATTTGAGAACAGTCCTCAGAACACCAAATTTGCAAAGGTTCTGGGAGGGGGAACACTGAGAGCCTTTAAACTTGATTTGAATATCAATGTATTTCTTGTCCCACAGTAGGATTTGAAAGCATGGGAGATTGAACTGGTATATTTTAAAGATAAAGAAGGAAGCAAAACAATGTCCAGTAGCTGGCTGAAGGGTGTTCCTAGGCCAGGATGCTGGGCTGGAAGGAAATAAAATAGAGTAGAAATAATCCTTACAAATTTACAAATATTCTGATTTCTTCAAAAATATCTAATTTTAAAACAGGGATTTAAAAACTGATTTTTCCTAGAGGAAGAATTATATATAATTCCTGCTATCACCTGTGTTAGACTACAGCAGAGCTAGTAGAATTTTTCAGAATAAATATATTATCTTTGAATATTATAGCTGTGAGTTTGCCTGACCTGACAGTTTGTGGGTGTTTAAAACTTAACTCCTACCCCTCTAAGCAGTTACCAATTTTTGTCTACTCACCAGTCAGGCCTGTGTTCACCCAAATACTAAAAAGTGAACTGCTTCTCAAGTTAACAATGCTGAAATCCTTAAAGGAAGTCCTGAAAGTGTGAAACCACCTAATCTATGTCTTGCTTTATTAATAGGTCACCAGAGCGGCAAAGACATTAAACCACTGCTCATTAGACCTGTTTGCAATTTATTTTGCTTTTGGTCTAAGAAATACAAAACTTTGTGCTGGTGTGGAGTTCAGCATGACAGTGGGACAGAGCAGGTGAGGCGATGTTTGAACTTCTGAAAAATAAGCATCAACTCAAGGCATCCCCTTTTTCAGCCACTGGAACTACCAGCAAGAATGGGTATGGGGAGGGAAGGCAGCGAATGCTATAACCTGAAAGAATCCAACTTTCACTTCAGTTACCTCAGCTAATTAGTTTTTAAGTACATAAATATGCCGATAGGTTAATGTGCCTTTGGGATGAATTGTTGGCATTGCAAGTGTTCAATTCTCAAATTTCTTTTGAGCCCTCAGGAGGGTGAATTCTCTGTAAGGCATAAAAATGAATGAGAAAAGGACAAAGGAATAGTGTGGTGTAATGGTGAAAAAGCACAGGCTTTAGCGTGAAATGCCCAGTTTAATCTGGGCATTTAAACTGGGATGTTTAATCCCAGTTCCATCTTTTACTCTTCTTGGATAAGTTATTAACCTCTCCGAACTTCAGCTTTTATCTGAGAACTAAGGGAGACATGGCCAAGCAACTGGGATATAAACATCCCTAGTTCTATGGGGAGAAAATATAAAGTAAGATCTATTGGAAGAATTTGATAGGTGGACAAAGAACAGGAGTCATATAACCCCTAGTTTTTCTCACTTACACAGTCAGGCCTTGAGACAATGCCAAAGTCACACCAGTCAAAGGCCAGCAGGGACAGCTCTGGTTAGACCAAACTGAACTTACTGACTTGATCTAGGAAGTGTGGGCTCTCCAGGGGAACCAGAGATGCCACCCCAATAAGAGCAAAGATGGACCTGATTTTTGTAAGGATGATTTTTCCAGTGAAAGATTCTGAGAATGGTTAAAGCAAAGCAGGAATGAAAATAAAACTAGGGCAATGAAAATAAAACTGGTAAGAGAACAATCGTCATACAAAATATTTCTATCACTTGACAACTGTAGGGTCTTGGAAGAAGCAATGTTATCTTGGTCTTATGTAAGTCTGTCTTCTCAGCCTAAGAACAGGAGTGTAAATATATATTTTTCTTCCAGTTTTCAAATAGTGTGTATTACTGATCTTTCAGTCTCAGATGTTTCATCCTTTTAATACTCCAGGAAAAGGACTCCTCATCCATATCATATCACCTAAGTTGTCAATTTACTCTCTTCCCTGCAAAGCACAATAATAAAAAATATATGAAATCAAGCTGGATTTAATAGTCATTGTAATAAGCAGAGCAACATCTTAACAGAGCTCTAAGTTCAAGTAGCTGAATGAGGATCTTTAAATGAAAAATTCTGATTGGGGTTGGACACAATTTGTGATAAGTCAGTTTTATAGTTATATAGCCAGATTAAAGTTCTCTAGTCAGTCTTGATACATAAACAATGGTTTGAGTAGCAAGGAGTTTGTCTCACTGAGTAACCTACAATTCGAGGAGGTTTTTCACCTCAGCAAACAATTTTGTTGAGATGGCTGCTGGTTAAGCAGCAAATAGTTTGGATAAACAGCTTTTAAGGAATTTCTTGAAGCAAAGAATTAAGTTATTTAGTGGTGATAGATGTCTTCCTAGGCTAGAATTTCCTGGAATAAGTGATAAATTGTCTTGATGCAAGCAGTTTCCATTCCTACGGTTGGGGCTGAGAATGGGAACACTTAGTATGTCACTACTGGGCTCCTTTTCCAAATAACATCGAGCAGCTTCCAGGGGAGGCTGCATGCAGGTGCTCTTGCTATGATAAAGGTTCCTTGCTGTTCACAGGGAGGAAATAAGCCACCTCTGTCTGAAATGCAGGTTTGTCTTTCCACATTGCTAACACTGCTCCCTCACAGGCATGATATACTAAATGAGAAATGAATAAATTCCTTCACAAAATGTACATTGTAAATGCTCAGGAAATCATTCTTTCAGTTTTTATTATTGGGGTTCTTCCTCAAAAAATTCTGTCTATTAATATAAAATCAACACAAAGAATCCCTATTAGAAATACCTACCTAGATGGAGATACCAAAGTAATCAATAAGGAAGTGTTAACTCGGAATTATTTATTCTGCTTTTATATTAATAGTAGAATTTTTTTGAGGAAGAGGTCCAATCAAGATCTCCTCAGTTTTATTTGGAGTACATCAAGGCTGTCTGGCTAATATGTATTTTTCTGTTTTCTTCAGGAAAATGTTGAGAATGGCAGAGCATGGAAACAAGGGGTGGAATCTGTCTTCCAGAATGGACTCAACGGGGAGAGCTTGGTTCCTGTTCCAGGATATGACCCCAAAGACAAAAGCTACAACAATATGGTGTTAGAAAAGGTTACCCATTTCTAAGGCAGCTCTCTCTCTCTCTCTTTCCCTCGCTCCCTTTCTCCATTTTCTTCTTGCCTATTGGATAACAGACTTGTAGTCTTCACTGCTAGAAGACAGGGATGTCTAATGTCTATTTATACTTATTTATAACTATAAATAACTGTTCCTCAGGATATACCTTGGAAGATCCAATTTTCAGATGAGAAAAAACAGCCAAACCTTAAGTGCATATGCAACTTTCTTCTTAAATAAAGTAGGACTGGATTTCATTATATTGCAAAGAATCAATTTCTTTGTATCATATTAAAGTTAATGGGGTGTTGAGGTAATTTTTAAACTATCAAATATTTTGGAGCTTACATAGAAAATGTGGAAGCAGATATGCATATCAATGCTTCTCTGTCATTGCTGATAACATGGAGGATTGACATCTACCCCAAATCCCAAACTTCAGAGGAAATAGGCATATTTCACATATACATACCATTCCAGAAGTTGCTGTTGGAACAGACCTAACTGCCTTAAACATCCCCCCCATGCATACACATCTTAAATCATCTTCCAGTCATTCTTGCTCCTATAGCTTCCCTGACCAAGCTTTAAAGATAAACTTTGTTAAGAACAGAGGAGAGACTGGTATGCTCAGATCTTTTTGTAATTTCAACATAATATTTCTTCCTATCACCTTATTTGAGAAATTGATTCTGTACACAGTAAGAAGTCCATAGTCATTCTTCAGAAATGGGTAATCAGGAAAGGAATGGCCTACAGGATGTTGCTAGGATAGTACTGTGTAAAAGAAAGAACCTTGCAGATAGCTTACCAGCTCATAGGAGATTTTACTAGCATAGGGTCTTCTTTGGTACAAAAAAGATTGTCCACAGGATTTACTCTCAGCTCATATCTGCACACTCAACATCTTCAGTCAGGCTAAGGAAACAGAAGTTCTAATTGAATTCCAGAAAATATTTTTCAAAGTTCTGGAGTAAGAGGGGACTATAAATCAAAAAGGCGAGTTGATAATGCAGTGAAAGTTTTTGGGAGAAGAAATAACATCCTTAAAAAGTAAAAGGCAGTGCCATGGGGGCTAGATTGATAAGATGAATGATAATAGGAAGCCAAATAATGTCTGGGCATCAGGTCTATTAGGGCAGGCGTCAGATATTTATTTTGGTGGCCAGGTAAGATCAAGAGGTCTAGAAATGGTATGTTAGCAAAGTAAAAGAACTGGTCCAAACAGGCATTGTGATTTCAATGTTACCCAGGAGGAGAAATCCTGTAAAGAAGCATATTGCCAGTATTTATTACCGGAGAAAGAAGATAAAGAGGGAAGAATTAATGAGGATTAAAAACTGGAGATTACAAATTAGAGCCCAATCCTTGCCTTTCTCCTCCGCTCTCAAAGAAGAGAGGATAGAAAGAGAAATGTGCTATAGTTTAAAAGAGAGAATAGAAGACATACATTTGGAAAAAGGAGGGAAGAAATAAGAAAAAGGGTATATTTGGAACAATATCAGAAAATAAGGAGCAGGATTTCTGGAAGTATTTTTAATCAAGCAATCTAATAAAGGTGTTGATGTAAGGATTTGCAAATTGAGAGGTACAATGCAATTACTTTTCTGATGATGTAGTAGTTAAGACATTCCTATGAATTTGAAATTAAAAATATTAGATGAATATTGAAATTTTGGCTAAACCTCATTGATTTAATTAATAGTTGACACAGGAAAAATACAACCCTGAGGATGAGAATGAGATTAGCAGGGGTCACTATATATATATATATGAATTCCCCCCCATATATTCTTTGGCAATTACCAATTTTCACTTTTTAAAAAAGGTAAATCAGTTACTACCACTGCATCTTATCTTCTCATTGCACCCCATTGAGAGATTCTAACCCTGAAGAAAAAATACTAAGTAGTGCCCTTTCAATGGTACCAGTGTGGACCACTGTCTCCCAAGGGTGCCTGAAGTACAGACGAACACTCAGATAACAGAGTTCACATCATGATCTACCAACTTTTCACTGTGAGCCAGCAACTCCTCACCCAGAGAGTGCACAGATGTCCTCACAGGAGAGGTCTGAGCTTGCTGTGAACCGATAAGGTTCTCTTTAGTCACAGAGACCCCTCCCCGCATATAGGGGCTCTGGGTAATAGACAGCGGGGGCTTACGTGTATACACAGATATACAATTTAGAATACATTTCAAGATTTTGAACTTTTGCTTGACAGTCCAAAAGTAGTTCTTCATTTTATACACAAATTATCTCAAAAATTTTAAAAATATTTATTTTTTCATGCATACAAGAACTGGGGTACAGGGCCTCCCCTGGTGGCGCAGTGGTTGAGCGCTGGGCTGCGAAGTGCTTGAACAAATAAATAAATAAACCTTAAAAAAAAATAAAATAAAAACTGGGGTAAAGGTCAGATGCATGGTAGGGTGAGAGTATTCACCGGAGACAGAGCGCAAACAGGCAGACTGACAAAATACACCGCTGAGGGGAGCAGCGGGTGAGACAGGAGAGGTCTGCCACACCATGTGGGATTCTCGCCAGCCGGCTGGTACTGAACCAGTGCTGCAGAGGTTGTGGACAGCTTCACAGCACTGCACTCAACTGCCTGCACCACCAGGGAGGCCCTTATCTCATAAATTTTACTCACAAATTATTTTATAGATAATCCACCATGTTACATTTATCTCAGAAATATTTTCAGGATCACTTTTTTAGTCACACAGTCTCTCACTTGGTGTATTATCAAAGCATACAATGACTTACAAATGGAAGATACTATTACATTATTACAAAAATGGCTGTTTTCTCTCACATAATGGAGTCTACAGTATTATGAGGTAATGTTTCAATAACCACTTGCGGTCAATATAATGATTCCTTCTAAACTGAACAAACATGTTCAAATTTATTAGAAGGTAAAGAGTAGGTAGGAAGGTAGGAATTCACAGGACAGTCATCTTTTACAGTATCCAGAAACCACATTTGTTGTATAGCAAAGGGGAATGGAACTAAAAAGTGCAGAATCAATAGCACCTCTCTTCTATCCTTGCCCCTCCTTAGGACTATCAGCTTGGACTGTGTCAAGGCCATTGGTACAATTTAAGGTCATCTAATGCCAGGTTCAGTCCAGTTCATGGAAATGGGTGAAATGTATGGCTGTTTCTTATGCCACAAAATAACCAAGAATAGTCAATAAAAAGAGCTGTGAACAATGAGTTCCTAGGATGGCCTAAAAATTTCAATGTATTAGTATAAATGGAAGACATACCTCAATGCCTCTTTCACTCATTCTGAGTAAATTTGTTTTGATGACCAGTGTTCTTTGTCACCATCTGGAATAAGAAGTACAGCCTGTTGATGAAGTGAGGGATTAAGTTGAAACATAAGTTCTGAGATAAATGATGTCAGTCATCTTGGCTAAGATTCAAAACTCTAGTTAATTCACAAATTAAAAGCAGCAAAAATTGCCCTACTTAGTAGGGTTGTTTTAAGGATCTACAGGGGTAAATCCTGTGAAATATTTAGCAGAGACTGGACCACATGGATAGTTAATGCTCCTTAGTCTGCAATATGCGAAGAACATGGCATATGTTATGGTATTTACTTTAATTTAAATAGCTTCATTGTTTCTCTTTAGGAATTTCGAGACACTGGCTTAGTTCATGTGCTACCAAACTAGTTTGAAAATCAGAAATAACAAGATAAACATAAGGTATAAGTTAAAAGTCAAGCCACACATTTCCAAACAATAGCCTTTTTAATGCCATTAATTAAAATATGATTTTCCAGGGGTTAATTTTTGTAAGGGTCCTAAATTCTTGAAGAAAGAAAAAAAAACACTATATAGACAAGTTTATTACTGAAAAATGCAATATTCAAGCCTATCATTTGTTAGGTAGTACATATGTAAAATGTAAACCCTGATAAGTAAACAGCATCTCAATCTATGATTCAATGCACAGTTAAAAGCAACTGTGATTCTCTAAACATACTAGAAATTCAGTTTTAAAGTAAATGTTAATTCAAATATTCTTTGACTACAAGCTTCATTATTTTGCAGTTGTATGGATTAATACCATTGTATTCTACAGAGAAAAAAGGAATCACAGACCAAGGGGTTTTCAAACGGTGTTTCAAAGAAAATATTATTGAAATATTTTATGGTATTACAATCTTAATCCAACAGTATTACAAAGATCCAAGAGGTAAAGAGGAAAAAAAATAAAGCAGTCTCCCTTTAATTATTCCCTTAGACATAAATTGTTTTAAAATATTAGATATTTCAGCTCTATATACATTTACATATATTTAAAAATCTCATGTGCTCTACTACAATAGTGTAAGGTTCTAGGCTCACTGCAAAATTAACCACTTTTATCCACCACTAATAACCTTGAGTATACTCTATTTGCAAACTGATAAAATTTTAATTGGTATTGGCAATGGTATATATGAAAATACAAAATTTTTAAATTATTCATTGTAACTCATAATTGATAGTAACTCACCTACTGGTTACTTTTATTTATAACTCTTGCAAAGACAATGTTATTATTTCATCCTCCAATTCAATCTCCTGACCAAATCAATCTATGTGGATAAAACACTCATGAACTTGCTTTAATGCTGCACTTTTGTTTGTAATTATCATTATAGTTTCAGAATGCAAAGTTAAACTTATAAATATTTGACTACTAAAATGCAGGATGGCCTTTAATTGAGGTATCAGTATATCAACAACTCACTAGATTGTCATGACAAATTAGGCAAAAAAAATATTATTATAGAAAATTTCAGCTGGCAATGTTATTTCTGTATCTGAATGGAAAAATGATATCTTTGTATTTCCAAAATTTTACAGTTTTTTTTTATAGAAACTTGGAATACTTCTAAATTTGATGTTCTATTTATACAGTTAACAAATTTTAGGAAAAATGTCTGTAGAATGAGGATAGCTATATAAATAATTTCTTTTAAAAATAAGTTCATATTGAAATGTGTTCAAGTGCTCAATGTGACTATTCTTTGCAGGGTTAGGAGTGGGATGCAAAAATACCCTTAAATTTTTATATGAATATATTGTCAGGTCTATCAAGCAACCAAGTAAAGAGAATTCAAAATAAGGTTTGATATATTATAAAACATTATTTTTTTAGTGTTATCGATATTGCCTGAAATATTTGAGCTACTAAGGTCTTAAGACACACACACACACACGTAACCATCAAGATGATTTTATGATTTAATACAGTGAGTTACTATAAATCAAGAAAAGCATTGTATAATGGTGATACCTCTTATGGACCTTGGCCTCTTTGTCCTTTGGAATTTCCAGAAACATTCACCTGCTTTTAAAAAAGATTTTAAAGCGAGTGTGCACAGGTGTTTAGAACACTCAGTTTCCAATTACAGAATCTGCATCGACACATTTAAAAAACTAATTTCATGCAGTGTATTGATTAAATGCCCTAGTGTGATTGCCATGTGAAAAATAACGGAGCAATCCCCAAACCGCTTATTCGTAGCAGTACAACAGGCAGAACTTATAGAGAACTGAGCAATTAGGCAATGCTATTGACTTATTTGGAACCCACATTATAAAGGTTTTTATTAAGTACCTTTACTGTTCACTACTTTTAGAACACTGCCCTGAAGACACACCTTAGAAATACTGTTTGGATAATTGATTCAATCTATTTCAACAAAGCAAAGTTTACTTAAATTCACTTGAAAATTTCTCATGAGAGTTTCAAAGAAATGTTGACTGGTTAACAATAACACACACATATAGTATTCCCCCAATTCCCTCTTCAATTACAGAACTCTCATAGCACTTTCCTACTTGAAAAAATTCAGTGTAGAGGTCATGTATATAGGGGATACACACTAAGAAGCTAAAATTGCATATATATGTATTTAAATGTATTTTCATCTGCAACTTGGAAAATAGAAACATTTATTTTTTGGTTAGAGTTATCACTGATTTGTAAGTTTACTTTATTTAGCTTCATCATTGAGAAAGATAAAGAAAAAAAGAAAAATCTTCATTTCTTCTGAATGTTAAAAGATGAATTTAATTGTAGCTACTTGTTCAGTTAAAAAGAAGGCAGGATGTGTACATAGCAAATACTGAAATAGAACCTCAAAATACAGTTATATTGCCCAGGTGGGAAGACATCCCCTCCACCATTCCCAAAGCATTGCTTCCACAATTATTCTTGCCATCAAGATTATTCTGGCCATTCAATCCCCCTCTTCTCATGTGGAGAAAAGCTGCCCAAAAAAAGCAAACTGTCTGTTCTTAGCACTTGTTAAATACTAAAGTCGCCCTAAAGTGTTCATCTGGATATTGACAAAATAATTATAATGGTTTGAAACAACTTGTGTACCACATGGCACTAGCCATCCACTTAACTATTTTTAGTGAAAAATATCTAAACAGATCTCATTAACTTTTGTTTTACAACTATCAATAATAATTTAGGAGTGTTTTACTTTCCAAAAAACAGAAAGGAGAGTTGATGCTTTTCCTACAGAGAGTGAGAGTTGACATGGAAGTATTCTGAGGATTTCAATACACATATATGCCTGAAAATCTCAGCCCTTCCTTCTTAGGGAAAGATTAAAGCAACATCCACATAACTGACTGTCTAGTGTACTCAAGACTCCCACTTTGAACTGTCTGTACCCAGAACAAGAGGCTTTCTTCAGGGAGAATTGTGCTGGAGCACACACTGGGACAGTCATAAAGCTCTAAGATTGAATGTATAGGCTTCTCCCTGATAAGCTATGAAAACCAGAGAAATAAGATGCTGATTGCCTGGATAAAACCTACAATGATTTCCAGGACTTGCTATCATACTTGAGAGAAAATAGACTGGGGACACTGAATGGGTGTATCTGAGAGAGAGTAAGTGCTCACTGGTTCTTATATAAAAGATATGCTGGTTGTGAGTGTGTGTATGCAATCACACTCAGACACACACACACACACACACACACACCCCACATACTCTGGGTTTAAGTCTACCTGCCCCTAATTGACAAACTAGTACATTCAGCCTTATCTGTCAGCAACTCTTCAAGCAATTTTCAATTTTGACCATTAGGTTTGTGTGTGTGTGTGTGTGTGTGTGTGTATGCATGCACGCTCACAATTTGGTAGTTTCTTATTGACAGTTGGCCCTACATGTCCACTATCTTGACAGGTACTATATCTAGACTAAAATTGATCTTCATCTGTCCCAAGGAGATCGTGATGATTGACAGAGCCAGCACAAGTCAGAAAAAAAGAAAATGTTTCTGTGTGATAGAAGCATTATTAGTTCCATAAAAACTAATCAAGCTTCTCCCATCTGTTTCTAGTACAAATCATTATTAGGATCAATATGATACTCCATCTGCACTTTCAGATGCAAATGCCTTGAAAATAACAATGAGCTTATCAGAAGACTAAAATGAAAACTTTTTAATGAGTGGGGCAAGAACCTGCAAGAATTTCCTTATAGAGCTAAAGAATGAGCAATTTCCTTTCCCCATACACACTCAACAAATCACTTTATCCTTTAAAAAAAGGAATAAATCCAACATGCAAATTATAGAAAAATACCATATCATATGATAATTTATTGAGTGAAAAAAGCTTCTTTTCATTCCATTCTACAATAGATTGTTCTAGGAGTCATTTTGAAAAATTGTGCAACATTCAGAAGTTGTATCTCATCATGCAGTCACGCAGCAGCATTATCTACAAGTGCATGCGGAGACTCAGACAGTTGTGAACTATGTCAGCTACAATCTAGAGTGATTTTCCACATCCTACTCTGCAAGCGCTTCAGCTCTGAACAAACTGTCAAAGCTGACTACATGCACATTTGTATTAGTTATTTGCTTGAAAAGACAACAATTTAGAATATGAAAATATATAAGCAGCATTCACATAATACAGAATTCCTGAGAAAAGTGTGTGCTATATAAATCTTTGAGAAATAATTTGCATTCATATGAAAACCATGATATAAAACATTTCTTTCAAATAAAATAGAGTGAAATAAAACTAACATACTGTTTTGGGCTGTAATATTTTGTTGTCAACAGTGATGAAGGCCTCGCTAGAGTCTACTGCATTGTTTCATAAAAGGAAAAATCTCAGAAAATTTTTTCACTGTTACTCTATTTTTTCACCAGTTTCAAAATTATCAACATATTATAATGTTTTATTAAAAATACATTTCTTTATTCACATTTTTTCTCTCTAGGCAATCAATATGATTTTAAACCCTGATGGTGGTATATAAAACTAACTCCTAAAGAGAAGAATTCTCAAGGGCACAACTATCATTATTTTTTGCTGCACACAGGACAAATATCTTTGTCCTGTATCCCTCATTTGGAAAAGATATAAATATCAGATTCATTTATGTCTTTAACAGACAGAGAGTATTTATTCTCAGGCATTGTAATACACTTAACTAACCAAGTAAAAGAAATGCAGATGCTACAAAGATGCAGGAGGTTAGAACTCCTTTGTGGAGTTAGTAGAATTAGTTACTATAAATACACAGGTGGCAGAAACAGAATCTCTATGCAATGTGTATGAAAGAATCCCATGTGGGAAGGGCACGCGAAAGAATTTTAGAGTATGAAATTTGTCCCCTTGCTCAGAATTAGACGACAAGTAGGGATATGAATATTTTTGACAAAAACCAACCAACCACCTACCTACCCGACAACTGTAATATATTAGCTTTTCCCTGGGGGAAACAAGGGAAAGCAAAAAAGAAAAACATTTTCAGTGTAAGGATTGTAAAAATAGTAAGAACAACTTTATACTTTTCTTACTAGAGAAATCTTAGTGTATATTTCAATTGCATTGAATTGGCCTGTGTAAATTTTGGGACTATCTATGCTATGTTTAATTGGACAAAAGTTAATTGGACAAATAATAACCAAAATAGTAAGATATATATGAGTGTGTATAATCTCCCAAACTATTTCTAGGAGAGGAAAAAACTGAGATTAGCTTTGACGTTTTATATGGAAATATGTCCTACTTACTGCTGTACATCCTCTTATTTCAATTCTTTTGCCCAGATGGCCACCAAAGCTTGTGCCTCCACAGACTTTCCTTTAATTGAATGCCCCATTATTCCCACTTCTTTAGACTATGAACAGTCACACTAACAGATAATAGAACTGACACTGAAACAGAAGCTGCACAATAAAGCAAATTGAGGTCTTTCACAATTAATTTGACTTTGTTTCTAGGGAATTTTTAAAAATAAACTCAATCTATCAAAGAAATAGTAACAAAACTCTGTTCAATGATGAAAAGAAAGTGAAAAAAAAGTGTTTTTTTTTTTTACAAATAATATAAATTTATATTCATGCATTACTTTCATTAGCTCATGAGCAAGAGATGACATTGTTGGAAAAGCATACATATTGCAAAGCATCTGGCTTCTGTTTTCCTCAATAAACAAGTCACAAATGGGATAGTGTGCCAATGTTCTCAGAGCTGATAAATTAACTTGCATTACACATTGTCAAGGTGCAAAGGTACAAGGAAAATCAACATATTTACAGCAGTTCAAGTTATTCAGTGAGAGCTGTTGTAATAAATCAGGAAGCGAAATATTAAATGTACTATAAAACTGCCTTTTGCAGTAAAGTATGGATTTATCTTCTCAATGATATGAAAATAACCATTCATGTTTTATATGCATGTGGCTCTATTGGCATTTAGTTATAAAGAAAGGCAGTATAACTGGTCCTGTCAGTGACAAAATAGATTTGAATGTAGTAGATGCAACAGAATATTATTTCATGAATTGTATTCATTTTGGAATTTTAGATTTTTGGTTTGACTATTAAGGTGATGTGCAATTCTTCAACTGCATAGTAAATATAAAGCAGCATAATTTCCCTGTGGCACTGGTTCATAAGCTCAGCAAGAAACAAGGGAAATTCTTATAAACCTGTAAGCTGAAGGGACATGGATTTTTGGCAGCAAAGGCAATAATTGATTATTTCTTGCATGTATTAACTCACCCTATGGTTTCAAAGTCATTAGAATGTGAATGAAGATAACACAATTCTAAGTCATTCCTGGAGTGTGAACATTTACATGGAAATCTTGTCTTTAGAAACCTCACCATTACCCTTCCTATTACGCTACAGCTGATGGAAGGTGGAGGTCTCCAAACACACAACTCCCTGAGTCTGGTTCTGAGAATTAGATTCTGGCTTCCTGCAATGTCAATCTAAGCATTATTTTAAGGTCAGGAGTCATCTTTTTCTTCCCTAGAAATGCTGGCTATTTCAAATACCAGAGATAACTGCGATGCAGTTCCAAGGAGCACAATATACACATGATTGCCAGGTATAACCTTCCTCCTAGATCCCACCTAAAATTTGAACTTGCTGTGATTCCCATGGCTACTGCTCCTACTGGGAAACAGGCACCAACTAAGGCCATTCATGATGAACAGGGTGACCACTTTTTCTCCGCTGTTGTTGTAAATGTTCTAATTCAGCTTCGTACATCATTTCTTGGACGAGGTACTTCTCCCGTCGTATTCTGTCATACAGATTTTTTGGTACATCTGGAATCAGGTATGCGATGAATGACTTGATCCCAAAAACAAGGTGCTGCAAATTTAAGAGGGGAAAAGTACAATATTCAAAGATTATGAAATGCTAATTATAAAAAAGAATACCCAATGTTGTATTTGACTAACAGTCGATCAAACATTGAAACATAGAATATATCATCTGTATCAATTTTCAAAGATTGCATTTGAAATAGTACTGTTGCCTTCCATCAAATAAGTGCTAGGAGGAATGAAGGGCTTTTTCCTCTTTTTACTGTGCTAGACTGATATCACATTATAAATAATACTTGTTCAAAATAACTTTATCAGTCTTTGAATTACCTCAAACACAATGATGAAGGCCAGTCGAGCAGCGAGGATGTGCCAGTATTGTAAGGTAAATTCATAGGGTTTGGAACTCCAAGGGGGACCTCTGTAATCTCTGTACCTAAAACCCACAAAAAACAAAGAATTTGAGGAACAGAGACTAATGTGTAGAGGCCCCAAATGTTCTTGATTTGTATATATTCCAAAATGATATATATATGGGTTCTTTAATGTGTAAAGGGGAGGTAATGTAATGGGGAAAGGAAGAAGAAAAGAACTATAATTTAAAGCAAGTACCTGCAATAACCAGATTTTCCCATACCGAGCTCACTCAGGTCAAAGAAGGAGAGGCTATTGTTGACATATCCTTTTAAGCAACTGAGAGAAAAGAAAAGTATTATGTGATTCAGAGATTCATCAATTTCTAGTGCAGTTCCTTCATTACAAATGACAGGATTTAAAAGATTCATTTCCACTCAAATTATAAATTCCTAGCACTTCAACTCTTGTATTCTATTCCCTAACTTCCATTATATCTGTAATTGCCCCTTAATGAGATAAACTCTTGGTCATTTTCCCCCTGTAATTTATAATTAAACAGCCAGTCAATAAACATATTTATTTGTGATTTGTTAATTTACTCAATATGTATTTATTGAGGACCTACAATTTTTTTCTTTTAAGAAAAATCTAGATGCTTGGTGTTCAACAATAAACAAAAGAGGCAAAAATCCCTATGATATAAGATTAGGGATTAGACTGTGGTCAGGGTTGTTACAACAATCTTAGAAGATATACATTATTCTTTCCATTATACAGATTAAAGAACTATGGTTTATAGAGAAAACTTTTCCCTAGGCCCATAAGCCTTAAAATCCTTTATATTTTCAGTTATCTTATATATCAATATTTTAAAAATTTATTGGGGGTCTCAAAGCCATTTGCATAGCAACATACCTATTGATATTTTATGTATTAGAAATTAAAGCTGAGACATTTATAAAATATGTACCAATTCATGTAAAAGTACTGTCAAATCCATTAAAATTAATATGCATACCACATTTTTTATTATTGATAATTTTATTTAAAAAAATTACTAGATAACACTGGTTTATAATAATGCGTATGACTCAGAGGCATAGGTTTATACCTGTTCAGATATAAGTTATCACAAATATAGCACATTAAAAAAAAGCTATATTTTTGCAAAAGAAAAATGTGGTATGAAGAATTATAATGTTTTTATGTGATTAAAAATCCCTTTTGATGTCTGTCTCATAAAAGACGGCTACATTCTCATGTCTGCTAGTGCATTTACTCTATTGCAATATGTTGATTTGGCTAAAGAGTATTTAGAGAACCTGGCCTCACACAGATAAGTAATTGGACAAAGGAGGACTATTTTAATAGCGTTTCAGATAGTTATGCACATTTTTCTTTGATATCTCAGCAAAATTTTGTATATGTAGTCAGTTTTTAAAGTTTAGTTGCAATGGGAAATCTTAAACTAAATAAAGTTTAATTTCAATACAGCACTGAACTTTTCATATGGATCTTACATTAAAATCCCTAAGTCTATCTTGTAATTTGAATTTATCTCTTAAGGAGATTTATAACATCATATAAAGGTAATTTGGAAAATTTATTCCTGTAGTTATGAAGATCATCTAGATATTACCACAGCTTTATGAAAAAAAAAAAAAACACAATTGTTAACATCAGTATTGATTTTAATCAGAAAAAAACAATCTGTAGATATTGTAGTGGTAGATAAAAGTTATCCAAAATTCAAATTTTCATTTCAAAGCCTGAATTTTATTAGTGAAAATAAATACTGTCAATAATTTTCCTTAAAATGACGTAATAGTTTTATGCATTTTATAAAAGAGTGTCTGCTAAGTGCTCAAGCCTGAATAATCATAGCTTGTCTGGAATGTTTGTATAATTTGCAACAATCACACATGGATTTTTCTTCGAGACAACCCTCATCATTTGGTATGTAAAAGTGCTTCTTGCACAGTTCACAATTTGTTAAATAAACAATCATAAAACATGTTTCTTCAAACTGATGACTAGATGGTTTCCAACTGATTCAAAGAGATCTAAATAAATGAAAAATTACCAAAGCTTTATCAAAAACATTCTGGAATTTCTCGACATTTTTAAAATAGTGGTGAGAAATGCAATTCAAATTCTAGTATTTAGGGAGCTATGATCTTTAATTAAGCAAAGCAACCAAAAAATTGTATCTACCACTGCTTTTCACCATTGATATTTGCAAACATCAATATGGTGGAAAGTGATGTAGTATTACTATGAACATAGAATTGACCTCGTGGACCCTGAAGGAGATCTGCAGCCCATATGTTGAGAACCTCTGCTCCAGGACAAACAATTGTAAAAACCTGAATTCAAATGTGCACCTCTCTCATACTAACCCCTGAATTCTTAATTTCAGTGCCATGCTAACTTCATACCCTTGCCTGTCCAACTTGGATCTCATAATTTATCATTTCAACTGCTCTTTGCCAATATCCTTCTCTTCATTGCACCTTGTTCTTTGCCACTTCACTCTGAAATGAACATAATTCCCATTTGGAAACTAAGCATTACCCCCCGCTACTCCTGCCCCCCAAAATGAAATAAGATGTCCCTATGAATGTGTGGTTTTAATCTCACAAATGCCTTCCACATCTGTTTGAGATTATTCTACACCTTTAGCCACTGAATACAGACAAGGGGTCGGGTGCCATCTACATGGAAGGCAGATTCTAAATGCACACAGAGCAGGTATTTAGGCAGCCTCATTTTCACCTGCCCTAGGTGGCAGTAAAGACACTAGCAAATGCTTCAGAGGAAGAGGGCTGCCAAACACACAGAGGCATTTTAAGCACTGCATCTGGGCTATTTTTAATTAAGAAAAAAGGTACATTTTTGGTTTTTCTCTACTGATGCTTAAACTATTTTTTCCTTAGTGTTTGACCGTTCAAAAATGTTATCTCAGGCATGATTTCTTAATCATAGTCCCAGATTGATGTTGTGCCTTTTAATAAGAGGCAAGAAGTTAGAATTTGAACCCAGGGTGTTTGACTTCAACTTAAAATTTTTGACAAGACTCCAAGATACAAAATAAAACTGCATGGCTTTGTTAGATCTCTTTGAAAAATTGAGATGTTTGCATTCAGAAAGGCATTTCAGTGTTGAGTTTATCAGCAGAGCTAAGGGTTGATTTCATTCTAAAACGGGGCTCAGTCTTTTGGGGCATATGTCTGCCTCTAGTTAAGATGCTTGTCCAAAGTTGCTCCTGAAGGAATGAGAAGAAGCCTCTCCTAACACTCTGCTATCATTATTTTTACACCTAAAGCAAATCTCCAGCAAAAATTTCCATTTCTCTCTGTTACCCACAACTAGCGACTTCACGCATTCTTCCCTGATCTATAATTTTAAGTAGGAAATAACTGAAAAAGCTATGGTTCTAACTAGGTGACCTTGTTCTTCAGGGGACATTTGGTGAAGTCTAGAGATATTTTTGAAGGTCACTACTTGGGAGTCTGCAGGTTGCTACTGGCATCTAAGTGGAAGGCAAGGATACTGCTGAATATCCTACAATGCACAGGGTAGCCCCCTCCCCATCAAAAAGGGAGAATTATCTGGGATAAAATGTCATTAGTGTAGAAGTTGAGAAATCCTGCTCTAACATGTGTATTTAAATTCTAAAAAAAGAATGTGGGAGTCAGGCCCAGGATAACATTTTCTGCACCCTTACAATCCTAGCTATAAATTCCATTTGAAGCATCTCTTTCTATATAGTCAACAGTTTCTTCATGTTCTGTATTATCCTACAAACTAGCTTCTATCCCTTCAGCAAGCTGATAAACCTTTATGGGTTTCAACTTTCCAATCCATATAGTCAAAAGATTATGTTGCACAATTTCTAAGGGGCTTTTTCAGTTCTAGAATGTGACTTCTAAATACACTGTAATATTTTTAACCTTTTAGACCTAGTGATGCATAGAGAGACTTTAAACTTATTTACTGTAAGAAACACTGCTGCCTTTTTTATTGTGCTTGGTTGCATCCAATAAATGCTGTGATCAGGATCAGTGCTCTTAATGGTCAAAGAACAAAACTTTGCAGTAAGTTTTCTTTTTAGTAACACATAAAACATATCAGGAAAATGTGCAAAATTCACCCTTACTTTTCGCTGTATTCAAACCGACTTGCACAAGGGCCATATTTATATTCATAGACAAAACGTGGGATATAATCTGATGTAATGGCAATTACAAATGCATTGGTGATCACAGCCAAAATACCAATTCCTTCAAGAATTCCATACCAGATACCTAGTAGGAGAAAAATTGAAGATCAAAATAAGTCAGAAAGAAAAAGAAAAATACTGGATGGTCTCTCAAAGCAGGAATTTAGAAAACCTAAATAAGGGACCAGGAAAAAGACTAATTAATACAAACTAAATATCAAAATCAACAAGCAACTATAAACAGAGACACACTAAGGGGAGGGGAGGAAGAGGGATAAAGGTCAAAATAAGGGGGTGGGAATTGTATGGGGAATATAACCAAAATGAAAATGCATACATTGTGCAAAAATGAAAAATGATGTAAGAATTATATAAAATAAAATATTAGAAAATAAAAAAATAAGGAAAAAAGATCAAAGAAAGTAAATAAAATATAAAAATTTAAGCTGTTAAGTGAATATTTTAGAAATTTTCTTTTTTGAAAAATGTACTTATTTTAGATCCACACTTATGTCCATAATTTACTTTCTTAGTACAATGTCTCACTACAGCACAGCTACTGAATAGACTTCCACAGAGGAAGGTAGACTCCATCCTGGAGATCTTAAAATTACAATGTCATTAGGAATCAGCTCATGCTGGTAATGAGACATGGAATGTTTGCCTAAGATATTTCAAAGCCTAATGTTGAGAACTTACTGAGGTGATAAAAACAATCTTTACGTTCTATATCATCATGTAAGCACTGGAATATCTGCATTCACTATTGGTTTGCCTTTGTCTTTGCCAAATACTTTTTTTTGAGATAAAAACACAAAATAAATAAAACTAGTTTGCTGTCAAGACTTGGAAGAAGATCAACCTGTAATCATATACACATACAAAAGAGTTTTACTACTGATTATCATCCAGACTTCAAATGGGATTACATTTATTATATTTAGTCTTAAAAATGTTAATTAAAAAAAAAGTCCTGGAAAGAAATACTCAAAAATGCCAGAAGTACCAAAGGTCACTGGCTAGCATGGTTACTTTCTCCTCCCTCCCCACCTACCTTCCTTGTTTTTTACATTCTTTATAATGTGGCCACATTTATAATGTGGCTATAATGTGAAAAATAAAATTAAATAGAAGCTTTAGGTTTTAATATTTAACATTTACCTGGTTGGGGAGATTATAAGAGAAGAAATCAGAATTGATAAGAAAATAATATTTGGGCACATCAAAATTTAATATTTATTTTTACAAAAGTAATGTTACTCAGCCAAAATGACGACGACTACTTGTAATAAAATATTTGCTTCACAAAACACACAAAGGACTATTTTGCCTAAAATACAAAATGGAGTTGCTGAGGAAATGGATCCACATTCACTAATAGTGAGAGTAGAAAATGGCACATTTTTGCAGACCATTTATCAAGATCTTTATTGCATGTGCTCTTTGACACAGGAGTTTCATTCTAGGAATAAACCCTGAGAAAATAGTCAAAGTATATATGAAGCTGTTCACCTTGTTCATAGCAAAGGGCTGAATTAATAATCTAAAATCTCCACTTAAGGGACTGCTTTGAAAATGCATAAAAACATAATAGAAATCTGTGCAGCAGTAATAACGAATGGAAAGTTACAAACAAGTTTTGAAGCAGCATGTTTATTTTTTTTTAAATTATTTAATTTTATACAAGAACTGGGGTACAGGCCAAAGGTGCGGGAGGGTGAGAAGATTCACCAGAGACAGAGTGGGGAGCAGAACAGGCAGATGGACCGAAAGTACTGCTGAGGGAAGCAGTGGGCAAGACAGGAGAGGTCTGCCGCACCATGTAGGAATCTCCCTCCCTGGCCAGCCGGGAATCAAACCCATGATGCAGAGGCTGCAGACAGCTTCACAGTGCTGTGCTCAACCTGCTGCGCCACAGCCACCGGGGAGGCCCAAAGAAGCAGCATGTTTAAAGTGCACTTACTCATTAGTGTGCATTTTATTCTTTGGTTGAGTAAAACTGCTCAGTTTTATTATGGTTGGGAGGGAGTCCCCAGAAATAGAAAAACACATGGTGCTAAGTAAAATCAAGCCACTTCTTAATGACAGCAATGCAAAAACCATTTAATTTCTGAAACTCACCTGTGTCAGTTTTTGGAACTTACCTATATCAGTGGCTCGGGCTGGCAGAGGCCTGCGCCACTGGGTGACAAATTTGTATGCATCCAGCCTAATCTCAATGATGTTGTTTAACAAAGCCAAAAGGGGAGCCAGAGGAAAAGCCGCAACAAAGATGGTGGTAAAACCAAACTGCAAAACTATAAAGGGAAAGCATTAGAAAATCAGTGATGTAAACATCTTATTAGTAATAGAAACACTATCATCTATTGCATGTAATATTAGGTGTATATTAGACAATATTAGACAAAGTGTATATAGTATTAGGTGTATATAATACACCTATATAATATTAGGTGTATAATATCCGAGTGTAATATTAGGTGCGTCACATAAATTACCATTCATCCTTTCAACATCTCTGCAAGGTAAACATGTTTATTCCATTTTATAGTTGAGAAAACTATAGTTCCTATTTGTTAAGTTCACTTCTAAAGGGTAGATAGCCAGAAAGCTTTTAACATTTACATTTAAACTCAGATCTCGATGGATTGAAAGCCTATGTTCTTTCCACCATGCAGCATGAAGAAAGAATAAATAAAATACAAGAAGTCAGAGGAAGACTTGGGAAAAAAAATGCTTGGCACAAGAAGGGACCTAATTTGGTTTTCTTTTTTTCAAAGACTAGAAAAGTGAAGTTCAGAGAAAAAGCTAATGTTAAGACAGCACTCAATGGTTTTAATAGTTGGAATGGGAATTCTTTCTTTTTTTATGTTTCACACACTTTGATTTTTTAATTTTTTTTTGTTTTGCATTTTTTAAAATTTTATAACCCAAATGCCCAAAAATAGATGACTGGATCAAGAAGAGGTGGTACATATACACAATAGATATTACTCAGCCATCAAAAAAGATAAACTCATGCAATTTGCAGCAACATGGATGGAGTTGGCAGGGATCATGCTCAGTGAAATAAGCCAGAAAGAAAAAGAAAAGTACTGGGAACTCTTCTTAATATAGATAAGTTTCTTGAAAAAGCTGAGGTTCAGACTAGGTCTGTGCAAAGGTTTATTATGAAAAGGAATATTGTCTTGTTTGGGTGGGATGGTACATTTCTTAACATAGCATTTGATTCTGCTTCCCATGACAAGACAAGGAGGGTAGCTTTTGAGCAAATATTTTAAACTATGAGAACCCTTACTTTGAATAAATATTATGGTGGCCAGAGGACAAAATGTGTGCAAATGTGTGCACCTTCTAGAATGTGCTTTGGTATCTTCTCTAGCTCTGTTGAGGTAAAGGCACAGATATGTTTTGATAGAGTTTAGAAAAGAGGGGAATGATTTTCTCTTTTGAACTAAAGCCCGCATGAAGTAGAAAAATAATATCAAGAATGACAACTCTGCAGAAAGTTCTTTCCTTACCCATTTCTAAGTACTCATCCATCAGTCCATGAATATTCATGGGCTGCAGATTCCAATCATTTTCCCACTGAGGTATGGAGGCATCTTGTACTCCCCGCTTGATTTTATGTCGTGACCACCAGTTCTGGATCAACCTACATTCAAAACAGACAAAGAACTTTTGAGCTCTATTTTAGGAATGATGGACAATTTATAGTGCATGTAGAAAAGAGAAACACCAACTATACTTGGGACTGCACTAAGCATTCCTGAGAGCTGGAGATATTTGCATGGTCTCACCTTCCAAGATTAGCACCAGAAAAAAGGATTCAGTCTTCCAGAACTCTCCCAGATCCTGTAAACATCTACATATTTATCCAGAAATTGATCTCCTTATATACTTAAATGCTTCCTGATATTGATTAAATATACATTTTTATGATTCTTTCCATCAACCCCAACTATAAAAATACTTAACCACTAATGTTGCCTTTTGATTGGCTATAGGTCCTTCACTGCTCATCATCCTTATCTTCTGGGCTGTGTTCTCTAAATATGGGTAAAATCAAACTCCACATTAAGTAACTGAGCCTTTGATGGGGTTTCAAGATATGTAGATTCTAGTCTCCAACACGCAATGTACTAGCTATGTGACTTTTAGCCAAGTGACTTCACCTGCCTGAGTTTATAGATCAAAAGGTTTGAGTATTAGAGATTACACTATGTTACTTCTGTGGACAATAATTTATAGCCATTCATCTGCATTGAAGTCAAGTTCTCAGACTTGGAAAGGAAATAACAATACTCTTTCCATAGCACAGGGGTAGTCTTGAAATTATGTGACTCAGAAATATTCTAGTATACTATACTATACTCCAAGTCATGAATTATCTTAAGATTTAGATGCAAATCTAAATCTTGTCTTGATGACAAACCTCTGCTACTTATATTATCAATGAACTAACCAGTTAATTTCCCTTGTTCAAAAATAGTCATGCTTGTTAACCTTGATTAAGTTCTATAACAGATTTAAACATTTCTATAGTAAATTGTTTTAAATACACTGTATTTGGAAAGATAATATATTTTAATACACATAAAGGGGGCTTTCAGTTTCCTTCTATATTAACATTTCACAATTAAAACTTACCTAAAATTATAAAATTAGAATGCTATTGTTTTGATATCATCACAATCAATTTGATTCTAAGGACTTTTTTTTTTTTTTTTTTTTGGTGTTGACAGAGTATAAAACTTCCACAACCAAGGATTTTATCTTTGTTTTATTCTTTCTTTTATGCATTGGGGTGGGGAATGAACATGCTTTATTAAACAACAAACTTGGTCTTCTGGTAGTCAAAAGAAACCAGAAAGTTATTTTTAGCCTGAAGAACTTATACTGTCAATGTTTTAGGTTTAGCAACAAATACCTTGGTATGTTGAATTCTTGGTATGTTGAATAGAGTACCAGTTACTCTAAAGCCATTTTCAGCCATTATTTCTTTTAATCTTCATAGCTATTCTTGAGGTAGAGCTGTTGATTCTTTCTCAGAGATACAGAAATTGAAGCTCAGACAGATTTATTACCTTGCACAAGGTCACATATTTACTAAGGAGCAGAGTTGGAACAGAACTTTTATCTGTCTGATTACTAACCCCAAATTCTTAAGAACTATCCACACTACCTCTTTCTTCTTTGGAACTATATATAAAGGAAGTTTTAAATACAGTGCTCACGGGTATCCCAGTTCCATGAAGTTATTCCATATTTGCTTCAAAAACATGATAACTCCCATCTGGAGGCAGAGGTCTATCAAACAGCCACTAGGATGACACTACAATAGAACAGTAAGAGTAATAATGACCTGTCTCTTCCCAGTTAGTTTAAACATTCCTACAAATTGTACCGTAAAATCTAAAGCCAGGCCACACAATCTCAAGGCATAAAGAAAATAAAAACAAGAAAGAAAGTATAGATGAGGTCACTTGTTATGGAAGTTTTCATTAATTATACAAATTAATATTTACTTTAATGAATATTTACTATCCACTAAGCTCTTCATTAAGCATTATCACATAAAATAAATACTCTGGGATTTTTATATAACTCTTGAAAATCAGGAGACAGAAAATGTTTAATTCTACGGCAAAATGTTTACAATATGTTCTTTTAAAATAAACCTTTTATAGATTTATAGAAAATTTGCAGATTGTGCATAGTACCTCTATGGTCCCTCAATTCCTGCATAGTCCCTTCTGCTAACAAGGTATATTTGTCAAAAGCAGGAGAGAGACAGCTGCACATTGCTATTAACTGAACTGCAGGCATTATTTAGGTTTCGCCAGTTTTTCAATTAATATCCTCATTCTGCTCCAGGACCCAGCCTAGAATATTATATTTACTTGTTAGTGTCCATAGACTCTTCTGGTCTGTATAGTTTCTCAATTCTCATATTCTTGACACTTTTGAGGACTGCTTGACAGGTATCCTGTGCAAAATACTGCAATATGTTTGTCTGATGTTTTCACATGTTTAGAGTGGGGTTTTGTGTTTGGGGAATGGAATTGGAAAGGTGACGTGTCATTCTCATCACAGCCCATCAAGGACTACACAGCATTACCAGTGATAATAACCTTCATCACTTGGTTGCCATAGAGTTTACCAATATTTCCACTGTAAAATTGCTCATTTTTATCTTTCCTTAGAAGTGAGTCACTAAGTCTAGCCCACTCTCAAGGTGAGGTGTAGGTGTTAAGCTCTATTTTCTTGATTGGGAAAGCATGCCATGAAATATTTTGTCAGAATGATCCCAATTTTGTCTTCCTGTGTTGCTGTTTTTTTTCCCTAGATTTTTTTTTTTAAAAAGCATTAGAAGCATTAGAAGCCCACATAGACAAAAATGTTATTATAATAAAAATTGTAATCAATGTGTTTTGCTTGAAAACTTTGTACTATGGAAGTTGTGTGGGTAGGGAAGCATGGGTCTGTCTCTTTAGAAATGGGTTCATGTCCTGCTCATAAGGATGACAGTGTCTGTGGCTTTGATCCACTGTTTCTATTTTTATCAAATTGGTACCAGCGCAATTTCAAAGGAAACAAAAAATTAGGACATGAAGAACTTTTCAGGTTCCAGCCCAGTAACTTAAAATTTCTTAATCTGATCCAGACAGAGGATTTGCCAGTGGGAATTCTTATTGTGCAGAGAAGACTCATTCTTCCATCCAAGCATGCCCTTTATTTCCAGGATAAATTTAGAAACCCCTGAACTCTGCCATAGCTATAGGATAAATGAGTTAGGTAGAATGTCTGAGGCTCAATCATTGTTAGTCTACAGAGGCACATCACAGAGCACAGCTATGGATCACACCTACAAGCTCAAACACTTCATTTTGATAGAGAGAAACAGAGGTAAATTGACTTGCAATATGCAATATTGCAATATTAATTGGTGGTGTGGATGTGAAAGTCTTGGTCTCCTACACCCTATCCATTGCTCTTTTACATAATGCTAAGGATGGTCTCTCCTTACCAAATATGTTTGTTGATTTGAAGGGCTGGTTTAGAACAACCATATTATTATGTGGGAAGGAAAAAATAAGACAATCATAGAACCATTTAATTTGATCATTCCCCATAATGATAGGCTAAAATGTAGAGGTTGGATAATAGGCCACCCATAATACTTTTTGAGATTGAGTCTTGATGAATTTGTAATTTATAGGGTAGAGAAAGAGATTGCATAGGCTTTTTTTTTAAATAAAGGTTTTCCCCCTTCATATAATGATTTCCATGAACCACAATCCAATCCTTTAATCCTGTAAAATTCATTAGGTAAAAAAGAGCTCATACTTAAAATGAGAAAAAGAGCATGGTTCAGTGCACAGGTTTTCATTCTCATTGTACTACTCAAAATTATATGGTCATGGACAACCCAATGGTGGTTATCTTCACATATAGACTTCCCTCCATATACCATGGGTTTTTGTATCCTTGGCTTCAACTAACCACTGACCGAAAATATGTATTATGTAGTTAGGCCTACGTTGGTTGTCTGTACTGAACATGAGCAGACATTTTTATTCTTGCTATTATATCCTAAACAATACAGTATAATAACTATTTATACAACAGTTACACTGCATTAGTTATTATGACTAATCTTGAGATGATTTAAATTATATGGGAGGATGTGTATACATTACATGCAAACACTGCACCAATCTATATAAGGGATATGAACATCCTCAGATTTTGGTATAGGGATGTTTCCTTGAAACCAATTTTCCCACAGGTACTGGGGATAATTGCATTTTTCTTCATTTTCTCATTTGCTCCTCTTGTGAACCTGGTGGGATTGTTATTGGTATCCTTTTTTGTTAGATGATGAAGCTAAATAGTAGATAGGGTTATCCAGACTCTACTACCCATATTTCTTTCACTTCATCTATTTTATCAGGTTTATTTTACAACCACCATGAAGATATTGCCTCACACATATGAGAATATCCTATCTCACAAAGGCCAGAAACAAATGCTGATGAGATGTGGAGAAGAAGGTAACCTATTACACTGTTGGTGGGAAAGGAGACTGTTCAGACTTTATGGGAAACAGTATGGAAGCTTCTCAAAATATTAAAAAAATAGATCTACCATGCTACTCAGCAATTCTACTCCAAAAGATATCTACCTGCAAAATGCAGAATCACTAATATGATTGGATATATGCACTCCTATGTTTACTGCAGCACATTTACAATAGCCAAATTATGGAAACAACTTAAATACTAATTGACAGAGCAGTGGATTAAGATGCATATATAAACAATGCAATGCTATTCAGCTTTAAATAAAGATGAAATCTTGTCATATGACACAGCACGGCTGGAACTGGAGGGGATTATACTAAGCAAAACAAGTCAGAAGGGGAAAGACAAATAACCAGATGACTGCACTCATATGTAGAATAGAAACAAAACAATACAAAGAAAAAGAACAGACTAAAACAAAAACAGTTGAAATCTGTCTGTAGAATTCAGGCTACCAGAGTGCGAGTGTGTGGGTGGGATAGAGAGGACAGTGTGGAAGAGGGTCAATGGACTATAGTGGAGGACTATGGGTGCTTTGGTGGTGGGTGTGGTATGGCAACATTCATTTGAAAAAGTATGGACTTATATGCTAAATCACATATGGTGTTGTAAACTAATTTTACCTCACTAAATAATACAATTTAAAACAATTATTTTCTTAAACCCACAGATTTATGATCAACTAATCTTTGACAAAGGAGCAAAGACTATGCATTGGAGCAAAGAAAGTTTGTTCAATAAATGGTGCTGGGAAAACTGGGTCGCTACATGCAAAAGAATGAAGCTTGACCACTACCTCACACCATACACAAAAATCAACTCAAAATGGATTAAAGAACTAGACATAAGACCTGAAACCATAAAATACATAGAAGGAAATATAGGCGAAACACTATGTGATATTCACATCAAAGACATCTTTACAGACACATCACCCAAAGCAGTGATAGTGAAGGCAAAGATAAACAGCTGGGACTACATCAAATTAAAGAGCTTCTGCACAGCAAAAGACAATAACAAAAACAAAGAGAAACCCCACCAACTGGGAGAACATTTTTGCACACAACACTAATGATAAAGGACTGATAACAAAAATCTGCAAAGAGCTGATGAGACTCAACAACAACAAAGAAAATAATCCAGTCAAAAAATGGGCAGAAGAGCTAAAAAGAAACTTCTCTGAAGAGGAAATGCAAATGGCCAACAGGCATATGAAAAAATGTTCACCATCACTTGTCATCAGGGAAATGCAAATCAAAACTACCATGAGATACCATCTCACACCAGTGAGAATGGCACATATTAATAAAACTAGCAACAACAAATGTTGGCGAGGGTGTGGAGAAAAGGAACTCTTCTGCACTGTTGGTGGGAGTGCAAACTGGTCCAACCACTATGGAGAGCTGTGTGGAGATTTCTGGACCTACTAAATATAGAACTTCCATATGATCCAGCAATTCCACTCCTAGGTATTTACCCAAAGGACACAGAAACATCAGTTCCAAAGAACACCTGCACCCCTGTTTATAGCAGCACTATTTACAATAGCTAAGCTTTGGAAACAGCCCAAATGCCCAAAAATAGATGACCAGATCAAGAAGATGTGGTACATATATACCATGGAATATTACTCAGCATTCAAAAAAGATAAACACATGCAATTTGTAGCAACATGGATGGTGCTGGTAGGGATCATGCTCAGCGAAATAAGCCAGAAAGAAAAAGAAATATACCGGATGGTCTCACTCATAGCAGGAATCTAGAAAACTTAAATAAGGGACCAGGAAAATGAATAACTATAAGAAAGTGAAAATCAAAATCAACAAAAAACTATGAACCAGAGATACTTTTTGGGGGGTGGGGGGCGGGAGGGGAGGGATTGGGGTCAGTATGGGGGGTTGCAATTGTTGTATGGGGAATATAAAAATAAAATTTATTATTTAAAAAAAATAAAATAAAATAATTATTTTCTACTATGGTCTCAATTGTGCCTTTATACTATCCTTATGGTGGCTGAAAAACAGTATTGAGAGCTCAGATTCTGAAGCTAGACTGGATTAAATAGAAATCAATTTGATAACGTCATCAATTTATAAATATCTTAGAATTGTAGGCAAATTACATAATTTCTCTAGGTCTCAGTTTCCTCTTCTGCAAAATAGGTGTAATAATAGAATTTCATTAGGATTTAATGCATTAACATATGAGGAACACTTAGAAACAATTGCTGGAATGTACTGGCAAATAGTACATACTCATTAAATATTAGCAATTACTTTTATGTAGATTTACATAAAATACTATACAAAATCATATGAGGGAAGTCCAATATAGCTAGTTCATAAATGTTCTATATAAAATGGCAGTACTTTTTTCTCTCTTTATAATGATTACCATTTCTTGTGCCAGGGATTTGCATGCAAGAGCTAATTTTATCCACCTGTCACTGAGATAGTTATTCTTATCACAAGTTTACAAAAGAAGAAACTGAGATTTAGAGATTAAGATCATACAGTTAGGTGGGGCAGAATTAGAATGTAGACTCTCAGACTCCAAAGAAAATATTTACTACATTTCATGTTTTGTTTTCTTTTCTTTAAGACTATTATTGCCAAAGAAAGGAAAGAGACCTATTTGCATAACTTACATTACCCAACAGCATTCTGGAATATGTTTCAATAAATGCTTATTTGCATGACTGAATTTAAAGTGTCAATTACGATCTTCCATTATGTATACTTTTTGCATCTACACTGCAAGGATTTCTAGGGTCTATCACAAACTCACATTTTTCATTTCACTGACTTTTTTTCCAAAATAAACAATGACTTGTTGCACAGTAATGGCCACTGTCCATGTCATATATATTGCAGAAAATGTCTAGGATGGCTAAAGATTATGTTTCTTGATATCAGTATTATAAGTAATTCTTTGAGATTCTCCAAGAGAAATCATGATTTCCAATAATTTCATAAGTAAGCATAATATGCAGTCAAAAGTATTGATGATAACTGCGTCTAAAAAGACATCAATATGCTGATCTATCTGCCTATAACCACTCTGTTTCCCATGTTATTCGTACTAACTCCAGTTGGGCACTCCTGGAAAAAGAAATCATTGAGTCCCAAATTGGGTGGATAAAAAATTCTGCAGCAGGTATAATCCTAATTCTGAACCCTGAGAGAAAACTGCAAGTTTGATTTGGGATTTCCCAGAAGTCTGAGATATGAAAGGCCTTAATCTGCTTTTGGCTAATAGAAAATACCCACGTAGTTGAAGAGTCAGAGGACTGGAAATACCAGGTACAAGTTATAGAACACCCCCAACAGTTATAGAGCAGCTCCAACAATGCCTGAGCAGTCATTGTGCTGTGTTATGTAAATTATCTCTTAGTTAAAACAGCTTTGCAACCTAAGGATTACCACTGCCAGTTTATAGATGAAGAGACAGATATTCAGAGAGGTTAACAAAGGGGAAAATAATAAGTAGAAAGATATGCTTTGGAGTCTTGGTTTCTATCATGTAATGCATATGTTCTCTGGAAGTTTTAAGCTTTCTCTATGTATCTCAGTCAAGTTCTAGAAAAATCTGGGGTGACAACTCTTGAGTTTTGGCTAACATTTTAGAAAGAGACTGGAAATATATCTATCCTCAGATTTTAACAGGGAATCTTTTCTAAGCCTTTATCTAAATTGTGACCTTCTACCAATGCCACCATGTATTAAATTACATATTAGAATAGATACAAGTTTGAACTAGAGTAAGACAAAACAATCTGACCAATGAAATTTACGGGAGTCCTAAATAAACATGATAACATGGTAAATTTAGAATCTCATTTTGACAAGTGAAAAATAATGTTTTTATTAAATATGTGACTGCCAATTTGAGGGACATTCTTGACTACTCTTTAATACCAAAATAAACTTCCAAATGAGCCAAAAAAATAAATATTAGAAAAATAATATTAGTAAATATAAGTGTGAGGATTTTTTTTTTTAATTTCCAGAATGGAGAATACAATTTTGGCATTATAAAAATCTGCCAAACAATTAACAATAGTGATATTTTGATTAGAAAATGCTGTAGTTTTGTAAAAAAAGTATCAAAACAAAACTTAAAGATACACAAGAAAATGGGAAACATCTGCTTCAAATTTGAAAGATTAGAGTCTAATTTTATAAATATATAAAATAACTGTAGAAAACATGTCTAACTATTATGAGCAGAAACAGAACACACACCATAATATAAAATGTACAATGACCTTATGAAAAATATTTTTCATCTCAAGTGTAGTTAGCGAAATTGAAAACAAAAGGAGTCTTTTTGACATTATACTGGTAAAAATTAAAAAACATTTCTGTGGTAGCATAAATAGGGGCTAGCATTTTTGTCAGTCTCAGTGAAAACATACAATATGCTTACCTTATGTTTTATTATTACCACTCCTAGACATTTTGTTCCATGACATTCATTCATACGATAAATCAACAAAAATATGTGAGTCTGAGAAGGTCTATTTTTTTTATAAATTGGTATTTCAATGAGATTTTGTGTGACTAAAGTTTCCCTGCTTAAAAGGAAACCGCATATATTTGAAGGAGAACGATAATGACATAAATTTTACTCAAATGTGGAATACAAAGAAACAAAACAAAGGAGCTGACAAAACAATCCAAACAAACCACAGAAATCTGACTGCACAATTGAGTCTACAAGGAAGGGAAGGAGAGTGGGGAGTGGGTCCAGTGGTCTGTGGTGGAGGGTTATGGGTACTATAGTGGTCAGTCAAGTTGTGGTATGGCAACATTCATCTGAAAAAGTGTGAACCTAAATCATATACAGTGTTGTAAATCAATGTGACCTCAATTAAAAATAAGTTAAAAATTGAAAACCCATGATATACATATATAATAAAAATTCTGAAGAGGAAAATTCCTGAAATAAAATTCCAGACTTTTGAATGGGGGATGAAGGGACAACAGAATATTAAAGAAAGTTATGGTCAGGATCTTAGTGTTTAATCTCTAAGTTCACTAAGTTTTATCGGTAAGATGTAGCCCTTTCATTTCTAAACCAACAGGAAATCTTCTCTGCCAAAAATATTTCTTCAACATGCATGATATTCCCTGTACCCACCTAGTCTCTCTCTCTTCCACCCATTTCCTCCCACAATATTTGACTCATATTCATGCCCTTTCCATACCCACCCTTACAAGGTTACTTACTTCCTCCAGTCTCCACCGGTTAAAAAGTTTATTGTAATTTCCTGGGTGACCTACAAATCTGTAAAAAGTCATTTTAATTCATTAGCATTTATGTGGGGTTGACTGAAGAGCATCTACTAATGCTTCACAACAAATCCAAGTGTGGGTAGATATAAATGTTCACTGGTGCAATTTGTCCCCAAATTATTGACTTGTGCCATGCTTACACATCAAAGTACCTGACTTCAAAAGGAAAAAGTGATGTGTGCAGTCAGTACCAATGGGTTGAGAAGGTACAAGTCAAATCAACTGAACAAAACACTCCACTTTCATCTGTAGAATTTTAGTGTTCGTTGACCTAGTTAGTGAATATTTTAATAAGCCCCTAAATTACTTGGTTTACAATGTGTCTAGCTTCAGTATGTTTCCATGGCACTGGCTAGAGTTAAGCATATGGCAAACCAGAACATTATTCTAATGTGCTTTCTTTTGATATTTTGCAATAATGGTTGGGAAAAACTGTTAACACTAGGAGGAAGAGGTTTCTACAGTAAGAAGCTGTCACCTAGGATTACACAAAAGGAAATTGTCTTATATAACAAAACTATTACTGATGATTAAATAGTCATAATTCAACCCAAATGGTACTAGGTTTTAATTTTTTATACCAACCCTAGTTGGTAGTGGCAGTCGGAAACACTGTATTAATAAGTCTTAACTGACAAAACATATGAAGACTGATTAGCACAGTATCCCAAGGCAGGGAGCAACAATTTGCCATCTCTGCTAACAAACTGGCAATGGAACTTTTTATAATCCTTTTCACTCTGAAAAGATGCATACATATGACTTACCTCCCCAAAAAGAAAGCAATATAGAAGATAGAACTATTTAAGTTGACAAATTGGAAGAGGAACATCTTCAGGGCAAAGCTGTTTTCCCATTCAGATTCTGTTCGAGGATATTCTAAAAGGAACATAAAGTGTGTTTATACAGATGAAGTGAAGGATGAGAAACATCTATACAGAGTCAGAGGCCCCACATTCAAGTTCTGGTTTAGCCATTTACTAGCTCTATGAGCCATTCGGTGTCTCTGTGTTGTAGTGTCTGTGAGTGGTAATATCTGCTGCACAGAACTGGTAAAATGATCCCTGATAATCTTCAGACTTCCCCTACAATTATGAAAATATGATGCCTGTTATAAATATTTAAATTTTTTTTAAGGATTTTCTCTGCTATTGACATTTAGAGACAACCATAAACATTGAACAGTTCTTCACCACATTGGCTATGCCCAATATAGGACACTTAAGTTGCCTAAGTAGTTCTGTGAAGAACAAATATTTTGTGTGCAGACTGAAGTGAAATGGCAAAGAGGAAAGAAGCTTGCATCTATGAGGCGAGTGGAATTTTTATCTAAGCTACCTTGTTGGTAATCTCAGTCCATATTTTTGTAATCAATTTTTTCACCTATGAAATAAAGGATTTAGATGATTTTCAAGAACCCTGTCAACTCTCATATCTTATGGTTCTATGACCCTTGTATTTTTTTTTAAGATTTATTTATTTATGCACACAAGAGCTGGGGTACAGACCAGAGATAAGGGGGGTGAGGGATTCACTAGAGACACTGGGGAGCAGAACAGGTAGACTGACTGAAATACACTGCTGAGGGGAGCAGCAGGCGAGACAGGAAAGGTCTGCTTCGCCATGTGGATTGCTCCCTGGCCAGCTGGGGATAGAATTCGTGCTGCAGAGTCTGCAGACTGCTTCATAGTGCAGTGCTTAACCCCTTGCGCCACCAGGTAGGCCCCTATGACCCTTTTAACAAAACAAACCTTGAGAAAAAAATGTATGAAGATGGCAGCATGTATTGCAGACTTTGCTCCCACTTGGTAGCCAAATAAATGACATAAAATATATGTAAACTTCTTATACATTTTACTACAATTGAAGAATTCAAGAGAGATAGAAAATAGGTGGGATATAATAAAGGAAAATATAGGCAAAAATGTATGCATGAGCCCAATCACAGAATGAGGAAGAAATCAGTCCTGGGGATCCCAGTCCTAAAGGGCTTGCATCCCAGAATCAGGAGGATGCTGCCACTTCCACACCAGATGATGTTATATTTGCATTGTTATTTCCTCCTAAGTAGTCTGTAAATTTAGTTTGTTTACTTCTTTAACACATTAACATTATTATATTTAGAAATAAGAATGTGGGTTTAAACAAACAAACAAACAAACAAACAAACAAACCCTAGTGAGTTGATTTTGGTTTTCCACTTTTAATTCTATTGTATCATGATCCACAAATGTGTCCTACATGAATCCTACTTTGTCGCAAATAAGTTGCAATTCCATTCATGGCCAAATTACATGGATAAACATTTTCTGTGCATCAAGTATTTGAAAGAGTACTCATTTCTGTTGAACTTAAAATTTGCATGTAGCTTAAAATAAGCTTGTTAAGACATTTAAATATTATATATTCTGGCTTATACGCTGAATGTGGATATATCAATTTACTTTTATATTTCTATCATTTCTTATTTTATATATTTTTAAGACTTATGAAGAGTTATACAGTAATCATGACTATTATACTAACCTGATAGATCCTTTCTAATGATAAAATATCCTTCCAACTAAAATAAAAATTAAATTCTAGTTTCCCTAATATTAACATGGGGATAGCTGGTTTTATTGTTGCTATTTTCTTGACATGCATACTTTTATTCCTAAACTGTGCATATATAGATATTATTTTAAACAAAAATCGATATTTATATTAAATTCACATAGTCCATTTCTTATTAATGATACTGATACCACAGATACTGTGTCATTGATATTAGACAGTCACATTAAATATCAAGTAAAACCTTGATATTCTTGGTATGGAGTACAAAAAACTGTTCTGCCTCCTACTATTAATTGTGATCCATCAAATCACTTCCTGAGATTTGCTTCCATCCTGGGTATATACTTACTTTTAATGTAAATGATGGGTATAAGCAATCAGAGCTAGAGGAAATCTAAAACAATCTAGTTCGAGTGCTTTCCAGCTGAGGAAAATGTGTTTCAGATAATTAAATGACAATGAAAAAGATCATTCCCATTACTGAACACTTGGTATGTGTCACACAGCTAATCTACAACGATGAGGAAACTGAGACCAAAATAAGGAGCAGGAAAAGGTAAAAGAGAAGCAGACGGAGGGAGAAAAGAAGAAAGCGTAGAGTCCAATGCTAACAGTCACATAATCTCTAGGTGATATACTCAATCACTTCACTTCAGAGCATGAACTGGGGTCTAGTTCTTTCCTTTCCAAGGCTCTTTCTATTATTAAGTTCACTTGTACATACTTTATAAAGTACTATATGATGTTGGAGTGATTTACTCTACCCTAGTTAAGTGGACTCTGTCACATCTGAGTTTTAATTGTACCTATTAAACTTAATTATCTTAGTTTTCTTATCCATAAACTAGGGATCCTATTTTCATAGATCTAAGGTTATAATAAAACAAAATACTGAATGAGAATGTTTAATAAAGAGCCTAGCATTTGGTAAGTTTTCAATCAATAAAGGATGACTGCTTTAATTGCCCTCATATATCCCATATAGTATAATATTTTGAGAAAAATAAATATTGAGGAAAAATTCCAAAGAACTGAAAATGTAAATAAAACAATCCCAGCTAGAGAGAATGAGATGTTCTAGTTTCTAGGAAGGAGATTTTGAAACTGCATATACTGTTCCTCTCTAGTTAAGTGAGGTGGTCTAACTTCCTAGCTCAACTCTCTCATTTCTATAGACATTTACATAACTGAAATTGGCATTAAAAATGTGAAAGTACGGCCTCCCAGGTGGCGCAGCGGTTTTGTGCTGGGCTGTGAAGCTGCCTGCAGCCTCTGCAGTGCTGGTTCGATCCCTGGCCGGCCGGTGAGGGTCCCATGTGGGACCAGACCTCTCCTGCTGCGCCTGCTGCTCCCCTCAGCAGTGTACTTCGTCAGTCTGCCTGTTCTGTTCCCCGCTCGGGCTCTGGTGAATTCTCTCACACTCCCACGCTTCTGACTGTATCTAGTGCTTATATAAATAAATAATCTTTTAAAAAAAAGATTTAAGAAAAAAGTGCCAAAGTAAATCAACTACATATTGACAAGCCCATGTGTTATTTTCTTACTAAGGAAAATGGACTTACCTAAATTAGTGAGAAGGTAAGCAATTTTTTCATAAGCCTGTAATAAGAAAGAACAAATCGTGAAAATTATTCTTTTCCTTTAGAAAAGGCCATTATTTATTTAGTACACCTAAAGTATATTCTACATGAATCAAGGCTATCTGAGTGGGTGAGTAGGAGGATGGGGAGCAGAGAGGTAGTGGGCCCAGGGGACTATGGCAGACATTTGGTGGTGGGTGTGAAGGGGTAACCTAAAACTGAAAAGGTAAGTCTATTCCCCTAAGTATATATTGTAAAACAATGTTACCACTATAAAAATAATCCAATAAAAATAAAGTATAATCTATAAAATGGCAACATTTTAAATTGATCAGAAACATGTTTTAAAATTTCTTATGGAGTGATTGACATATATACATACACAAAAAATGCTTATAATACAAATGTGTAGTAAATATATGTATATAAAGACACATTTAACTTTATTATAACAGGCTGTCTTATTTCCATTTAATAAATCAAGAAAATGAACATAAAATCCACAAATCATTTAACTAGTCAATAATTGACCTGGGCTTTGGTTGCAAAATTGTATGTGCTTTTTATTACATCATAAGACTAAAAAGAACTGGGACTTCTACACTGTTGATAAGAATTTTCAAAACTATGACAAAGACAGTATGCAAATTTGCATTCTTGATTGCCATCACCATGCTGACGAGCTTCAAAGTTGGGTCACTTTTCATGCTGTGACTTGTTAACTCCAAAACCACACCATGCAGGAAGAAGCCATAATTTAAATATATCCACTGCATGGTATGATAGCAATCCTTCTGCAGAGCATGTGTGTGTGCAGTGGATATGTATTTGGAAAAGGAGAGAATGACGGAGTTCAGGGACAACTGTTGTGATCACTATATATTTTATGCATGTTGGAGAACATATAATTTTGACAGTCACCCAAATTATATGAACTTCTCTGAATCATATGTTCATTAGGTTAAAAATACCTATTAGGAATTTAAAGAGAAGCAGGTAGCATTCAAGAAACCAAATAATAGTGTACCAAACAATCATAGTCTTTTCTCACAGAACTTAAATTCCAATGACCAGAAACAAACACGTATGGAATAGAAGGAGATGAAAAACACCACTATGAGGAAAAATTAAGAAAGTGGTGAGCAGATAGAAAGTGGCAGTGGTACAAGTGATATTCCATAGAGTAGTTAGGGAAACAGCTCCCAGAGGGCAGCCTTTGTGCAGATAGCGAGGGTGGGAAGGAGCCCAGCAGAGATTTGGGCTAAGTATCTTGTATACACAGGAACAGAAAATGCAAATGCCGAGACTGGAGTGGAGTGGGTTTGATGTGGTTCAGGAAGGACAAGGATGTTGGAACAGTGAGAGTGGAGGCAGTAAAGGGAACCAGAGACATTTCAAAGAGAATATTTTCTTAAAACCTGGTATATGACAGAAAAGACTTCAGAATTTGTTTTGAGCTGATAAATTATCATCTTCGAGAATTCTTTTGCTTTGGGGTGTTATGTAGAAACCTGCTGAGGAAAAACTAAGAACAGTAAAGGCAGAAAGGACAAAGCTACTGCCAAAGGGCTTAACAGAGACTCTCACTTGTAATGCTCTTCATCTTTGAGTCAGTCTCACAATCTAAGCTTTACCATGAAAATCAACTTCAAACTGACTTGCAGAATCAAAAAGGGTACACTCTTTTCTAATAATGTATCTTTCTGAATTTCTAGAAACTATGGACATAGACACGAATACAATAAACAAATACATTAAAGGAAAGCCAACCCTCTTATTAATGAATCACTTGGCATTTGCTCCTTTCCAAGTTGGGATGTATGGGCCAACCCTTTGATCCACCTTATTTCATAATAACCTACATGGATTTGTAATTGGTAACCAGACATTAAGGAACATTAGGTGTTCAGTGGTCAGGCCCATAAAAGAAATAGGAACATATGCTTTGGAGGCTATAGATGGATCAAGAATGTGGAAGAGGGCCTCCCCTGGTGGCGCAGCAGTTGAGCGCGGGGCTGTGAAGCTGCCCACAGCCGCTGCAGCGCTGGTTCGATCCCTGGCCGCCGGCGAGGGTCCCACATGGCGTGCAAATCTTTCCTGCCGCCCGCTGCTCCCCTCAGCAGTGTATTTCGTCGTTCTGCCTGTTCTGTTCCCCGCTCTGGCTCTGGTGAATTCTCTCACCCTCCCGTGCTTCTGACTATTTATACACCCTCCAGCGCTTATATAAATAAATAAATAAACAAATAAACAAATAAATAAATAGATAGATAAATGCATAAATCTAAAAAAAAAAAAAGGAATGTTGAAGAGTTAAGATTCATGGATTTTAAAATGAGAGAAGAAATGCCAAAAGGAACTCACTCCCTTATGGACAATGTTGACATGGTTTATTTGGCCTAATCTCAGCTATTTCAACTTATAACAGTAAATCTGCTGTGATATTTCTAATTTTTCTTAAAAATTACATATCATTCATGAGACCAGACAGCTGTCATGTCACTGTCCTTAAAGACTGATTGATTAAAAATAAGAATATACATTTTTGGAATAATTGTACATATTTTTATTTTCAGCAAAAGGATTTTATAAATATTTCCTGATACCATGCTATTTATGGCTCCTTGAAATATCAAAGGAATGGCAGGGGCCGCAAAATAAAGAAGAAGGGACAGGATTAATGAAGGGCAAGTCTTGGTTCCAAGTTCTCTTTTTAATTTTAAAACTATCTTTTCGAATGAACGGATATATAAAAATAACAAATTAGAGTTTTAATTATTGTTAAATTATCTGCAACTTATCTTTGAAAGATATGACCCGACTGCAATTTTAAGTAATGACAGGGTCAGAAGAGAACTATTTAATTTTTTGTTTTAAATACAGATTTTTCTGCCCCACAAAGAAGATTCTGAATGGACTCTGGATTCTGTAAGGTTTCTAAGTGACTTGATATATTGTAAAAACAGGAAACAATTTTTAAATAATTTTCACTGTTTGTAAAATAGGCTTGCAGTCAAATTTTGACTGTCCTCATCCATATTTTTCTTGCAAACTGAGTACTCACTTAGGGGTGCCATGATTTGCCTGTTTTGAAAAGCTAGAGAATACCCATTTTGATGATTTGAATTAAAATAACAAATGCGACAAACTTGGTATATACACATGTTGAGTTTCAACAGTGACATCTGAAATTTACCGATTGTTATAATACAATGTTACTTCAAAAAATACAAAAGCAAATAAAAACGAAAAATAGTAAAGACTCCAAAGATTCCAGTAACAAAAATCATTTTGACACAGTGCAATATCAAGATACTAGGATAGATGAATAATGAAATATTTTAAATTTGTTAAAATAATATCTTGGAAATGTCTTTTAGGTAGTAGGCAAAGACCTGGAAATACAACAGTGAGGAGTTACAATCCTGTTCATAATGGGCTTACACCCAGTAGTGGGAGAAAAGCCATATTCCAAGCACTGTGACTGAAGAATATTCTCAGGAAGAAGTGTTTAATTCTACCAGGAGGATCTGATAAGGAGCGAGAGGAACTGTGTCCCGGAACCTCATAAGAAGAATTAACAAAAAAGAAGAGATTATTCAATACTACACATGGGTTTAAAAAAAAAAAAAAAAAAAAAAAAAAAAAAAAAAAAACTTATAGAGGAAATGATTCTTAACTGAAATTTTTAAAGATAAAAATATATTCTCCAGAGACAAAAAAATAAACAAAAAAGGAAAAAAAAAGACAGATAGAGGAAGCACTGTGTACCAGTAGACAAGGATGTGAAAGAGAGGCATGCCAGGAAGCAGGTGGAGGTGATTTTGTGAGCTGGAATGTAGAGAGAAAGCAAGGGAGCAAAACACAACCTTAGACAAAGAGGAAGGAGAACTAGTTTTAAATACTAGTTCTGTGCTGTGCTAACAAGTTTAGAAATTTATAGCAGAGGCAATGGGGAACTGTTAAATAGTTTCAAGTACAAAATTAAGGGATCAAATTTGCAATTAGAAAGATCCTTCCAATGAAGTGGGAAAAGTTGAAAGTAGAGATGAGAAGACCAACCATCTAGAAGGCTGCTGCAATGGTCCAAGTGAGAAATGACAAGTAGCTGAGCTGAGGACACAGAAGGGTGAGCAGGGAATGGATACAGGTGATATCACAGAAGCAAAATTTACAACAATCACTGATGAAGAAGGAAACGAATGAAACCCATGAAAAATGATTTAAAGTTTCGGGCTGTGATGTTAAAATATTAAAAGTCACTGATCGAAAAGAAATATTTGACTTAAATTGTTCTGACATTCTTGTTTCATAATTTTATGCATAATAATTATAGCTGAAAAGCATATTAGATTAATAGATTGAGGCCAAGTCCCTCATTTGGTGAAAATGGTAGCATAAAGATCCTAAAGTTGAATTAAGAAAGAAAAAGCATATTTTTATTAGCTGTATATTTATGTTGTTCCAAAAATAACAAGAGGTAGCATTATGTTTTCTAGATAAATCTTTTTGGTGTAATAATTATTTAAAAGTCTGGTATTTTGACATTAATGGCTTAAAGCTATCCTTTATTGGATTAAGCATTTAAATAAATCCTGTGTGTTCAGGTAACTTAGAAGGTTGTTTAATAATTAGTAAAGAATTTAAACATCCTGGGTAGGAAGGGACAGCAAAATTCAGAAGGGAATTATTGTTTCACACTGATTAAATCTGAGGAATAGAACATTCTTTTCATGTAGGCTAAGTTGGCTGTTCACTACTTTTATGCTAAATCCATTTTAATATTCTCCTCAGTTATTTGCAAAGGAAAAGAGAAATATTTATGGCCTATTTCATTTCTAATAATCCCTGACTCTTCATGCCAAAATGCCCAAGTAGAAATTAACATTTAGATAAAAGAAATGCTGTCTGTCTTCTTCCAGAAACAATAGATGATTGTTTTATAGTACTAGACAACTGGCAATTGATTTAAACTCAGTAGAGCTAGTAGAATTTGGAGGATTTCAATAGATTGTTTTTCTGATGAAAATCATAGTATCCTCACCTTGACCTGCTTACAAAGATCTTATTTCTATAATTAGAAATTCACTCAATCCAGTTCAGCCTTTGTTATCTGTAAAATGCAAGTGCTTTGGAAGAGTACAGCCACAAATGTGGCTTGGTCTTATTTTGGCTTCCATGTAAATAAAATCTAAGTATAAAGGAAACATAAACCTCTCCCCTACACATTCTCTTTTCACCTATTGAAAGATAACATTGGAAACACTTACAAGATTCAGTGTCATAATGATTACAAAATTAATACAGACAGCTGCAGCAGATGTTGCAAATTGCCAGTGTTGTTTGATAAAATTCCACTTGAATGATGCGAACTGTTCCATGACAACCAGGCGATACACCACAACTGCAAACACTGCAGTGATCACCAAAGATATCTACAAAATGGGAGACCAGAAGAGAGACCCATATTTTGCATCATTAACAAAACCAAAGCAAAACCATAGATTAATACAATGTCCTCAAGAACAATAGCTATTTACTTTTTTCAAGTATGCATACATAAATTTAAATTTCTCCTTTGAGGATCTAAGTTACATTACGGTCAAAATAAACATATGATTCAAGTTGTTTCGGTGCAATAACAAAGTTGTCACGTTGAAAAGCAAATCCAAATTCCTACTCTGAAATGGAATATTTGTTTTTAAAAACGAGATACCTAGTTTATCAGGACAGCTCATAAAATTTCCATTTTATTTCAGATGATGTCTTTCTCCCAAAGAGTGTTTTATTTAACAACGTGCACAAACGCCCTTGCTCATTCTTCCACCACCTGCTGGGTTTTTTATTTTGTTTACTGTTATCACCAAGGTATTGAAAAGCATATGGTTTTGTGCATCCCCTGAGTCACAAAATGAGTTGGGCCCTAGGACTTACATCTAGAGCTGGAATCCTAAAATATTCTGATATTAATGGTTATATTTTACCATGAAGAATATTCCTGAGATAGAGACAAGAAGACGAGTAACTTTATCCGAGGAGGGCTGATGCGGCTCAGGTTTGCCACTGATGGGATTCACTCTTTCCATTTTGTAATATTTGGCTTCAAACTGGGGGCGAAGTGTTTCCTATGAGAGAAACTAATGTTACCTAAATATCAGAATCACAAATTAAAAAAAGATTCACCAAGAATTTATACAAAATTGCTGGAATATGACCTGCTTTTAGTCTTGGGAAAGAATCAACTTTTTAAATTTAAGTTGTAAATTATTTTCTAAATAAACCCTGACCTATATTTTAATTAGTATAATTTTCTACTAATATAAAGAAACATCTTAGAAATGGTTTGGAAAAAAATCACATACTTCATCATTGATTTATATTATCGTCATGAAATAAGAAATCTTGATAGTAAAAGAGCATTAAGGAAAAATCTAATAGTATTTAGTTGCTTCCAACCTGGACATAAGGATAGTGAATAATTTTCAGTATCACATGTTATCCATTTCCTTTATTCCTGGTTCCCTAAAATCTTACCTCCTCTTCTTCCCACTCAATAAGGTCCCAAGTATAGGTCAGTGTACTTCTTCTCCTTTTCCAAAATTCCAGGAAGACTGTGGCTATAAATAATAATCATCATCATCTTCACAATTATTAATATTATAATTCCTTACCCAACCATATTACATTCATTCATCACTGCTTTTCTTCTCTGAATTGATGCATTTCTATTATACTATTAAATCTTTTAAATTTATTAAATTATTATTAAAGTAATACAACTGGAATTTTATTTTTCCCTCACCCTCTTCTTACTGCCTTTATATACTGCTATTAGTGTGCACCCCTAGAAGGGAGAGATTTTTTTTCCCCCACTGAAATATATTAGCAGAGATTTTTATTAGCATGATAACAAAATGATACTATGAGACAGTTAAATATTTATTATTCCTTTAGACTTGCACATGCTTATTCAAAATTATCTAAAAGACCTAAATAAAAACTTCTCCAGGAATGACAATAAGGAACAGATGCTATTCCCCAGAACTCAGAGAGGAGAAGGGTGAAGACACTCTGGGATGTAAATTCTATGCAGACTCAGAATGGTCTAGAACGGATTCAATGGAAAAAATGAAAACCTGTGTGAATCATTATCTGGATTTTCTGTGCAAACAGTTAAGATTACTTTCTTTCTGGCAAGTGGGATTTATCTTATAGGATTCAAGACTGTGAACATAAGCGCTCACAAATGCATCTTAAAATTCTTTGATAACCTTCATCTATCTGTCTGGCCATCCATTCATTCATTCATCCATCCATCCATCCTTCATTCTATGTGTTGTTATACAATTTTGGATAAGATATTGTAACCTTAGGGGCCCTTTTATCTAGCTATCTAAAGTTAACTTACATTTTTTTTTTTTTTTAAAACTTTTTTTTTTTAAAGATTTATTTATTTATTTATACATGCACTGGGTACAGTCAGAAGCGCGGGAGGGTGAGAGAATTCACCAGAGCCAGAGCGGGGAGCAGAGCAGGCAGAAGGACCGAAGTACACTGCTGAGGGGAGCAGCGGGCGGCAGGAGAGGTCTGCGCGCCATGTGGGACCCTCCTCCGGTGGCCGGGGATCGAACCGGCGCTGCAGAGGCTGCAGGCAGCTTCGCAACCCAGCGCTCAACCGCTGCGCCACCGGGGAGGCCCAAAAGTTAACTTACATTTTAAGGAAGAAGTACGCACTGACTATGTTCTTTATCATTCTATGTGGAAAGCTTATTGAGGCTTCCGCTTAGTCCTGCAAAAATGGGCTAGGGATGGAATAGGAGGAGGAGAGGCTTCCAGGGGAGAAGGGCATTTTGTTGTCAGGGGCAAGTCAGGTTCCATGAGTCGTGAAGGTAGAAGGCGTCTACCAGAAAAGCTGAATATGATACTGCATAATTCTGTTCCTTAGCAACTGCACATTTAATCTTTTAATTCCTGCCTCTCTGATGATGACATACTTTCCTCAACTTTAAGAAAAATTCAAAGCTACACATGTTGCCTCCAGTCCTTGTACATTCATTTCCACTTTCTGTTGCTTTCCTTTGTGATCTAGTCAATTGCACCTACTAACAAAATCATAGCATCATGCATACAAAGAGGTTAGATTTTATAGGTAGTTTATTTCAAATTATTTATTTTAAATGTACACAAAGGTCAGAGTACTGACATTTATCACTAACCTTGTTGAGAAAGCTGCCAAAACATTGACATTTTATTATACTTGTTTCTGCACTGCTTTTTCCTATACTTTAAATTTTTTTGAGTTACTTCTTCTCCTTAGCTTATTTAGTACATTGCACACTAAAAGTGGTGAATAAAAATTGACCATAGTGAAGGATTATGGGTGTCTTGGTGGTAGAGGGTGTGGTGTGGTAATATACATCTGAAGGATGTGATCCTATGCCTCTCATACAAGCCACCTCAATAATAAATGGATGGATGAATGAATGAATGAATAAAAGACTTACTGAAAAGAATCCAGTGATTGTGAGTCCAACTTCTGGTTCAATTTCCTTTCCATTATCCAGACATTTTTGAATCAACAGAGAAGCCCCTTTATCTGATTTATATGTTGAGCAATCAAGCCCAATTTTATTTGGAAAAATAATTATTAAGGAGTTAATCACTTCACTACATTTTTCAGAGGGGACTTGAAGGGAAGGTTAAGTACAAACACAAATGAACTTAATTATGTCTGAATATGGGCCTCCCCTACTGCGCTTCTGACTGTATGTACCCAGTGCTTGTATAAATAAATAAATCTTTTAAAAAAATATGTCTGAATATGTAGAACAAAAAGGAATTCCAAGTATTTTTTTAATCAGAAGAGATAAAGGCTTAAGGCCCCCTCAAAAGAAACCCAGCTGAAACAACAGCTTATCAGAGCAACAGCTCTGAGATTGCCAATTAAGACAAAACCCAGGTACCATTAAATGCTTTCATTCATCCCCCAGATTTATTTTCAGCAACATCCTCAAGCATAATATGCTTTCTCTATGTGGTATTGCAACATCACTACACATAAGGCAGAAAAAGAACCCTCACTCAACAGGTTCCACAATCAGCCAAAAGTGAACACTTCAATTTTTCATACCTGGGGAAAGTTACTGTTTTTCTTTGCTAGAACCTTACGGACATACAATTAATAGAGTTCTCTACATGAATGTAGAATATGATAATGAATATGCTCTACACAATCAATACAGAGTCTACCAATACGTATGAAGCTGCACATTCTGAATAGTTGGGCTGAACTGCACTTGACACAGTCATACCTGTAACTGGTTAGTCAAGTTCTCTGTCTTGCTAAGGAAATAAAATCCCTTTGTAATTTACTTCTAATTTCCCCCCTTCTCCCTTTTTAACATTAAGTAAAAAAAAAAACAAAAAACAGATAACTAGGTTTTAAAACATAGTAAGGCCAGCTTTTGAACCCTAAGGCCTGAAAATCTTCACATATGCCTAAAATCACTCAGTATTTCTGCCCCCGCGAATGTTCATTTAGAAATGAGAAGCTTAGAAGCCTCATGTTACATGAACATATAATGAGACATCTCACCACAAGTTTTTTTTTTTTTTCACCACAAGCTTGATCAGAGAAAACCTTTAATTCTGATATAGAGTTCCTCTAAAGTTAACTCTTCCTGTCATTAAATATATTGTTGTTATTTGTGTATTAAATAGAAAATTCAGTGGCTCTCTTAATCAAATGGCTAAAAAAATTAGAGTTTCACAGCAATAAAAACCTGTCATGTTTTCAAATGTATTTTAATAAAATACAAGTAATCTTTTTTAAAAACACAGGATTTTAATTTTTCTTATGTTTTTTCTTCATCTTACCATCAACTACTTGATGCCCTTCCTTTCCTTTCCTCTGTTGACCATTTCTGATTGCAAATGTAGCACTAGCAAAAAAAATCACTGGAGCAACACCTAGTTTCCTTCTCCTCTGAAATACAGGGGTCTAAGAATACCTGTTGTATATTATGTTTTATTTATTTATTTTATTTGTTTATTAAGATTTATTTATTTATATAAGCACTGGGTATAGTCGGGAACACGGGAGGGTGAGAGAATTCACCAGAGCCAGAGCGGGGAACAGAACAGGCAGACTGACGAAATACACTGCTGAGGGGAGCAGCAGGTGGCAGGAGAGGTCTGCGCACCATGTGGGACCCTCGCTGGCGGCTCAGGATCGAACCAGTACTGCTGAAAGCTGCGGGCAGCTTCGCAGCCCAGTGCTCAACTGCTGCGCCACAGGGGAAGCCCATATTATGTTTTTAATAAATATACGCTGAATAAATTACAATTGTAAAGAAGAAAATAAACGTCAACTGCAACCCGTTATCAATAAACAACTATTAAAATTTTGGTAATTCCAACCAAGGTATTTTTTCTTGAGCAGTATATTGAGGGCTGATAGCATGCTGATATTCAGACCATACTGGTTGCTAATTTATGTCAGAAAAAAGAAAAAAAAGACAAGCTTTTAATACATTACAATTAAGGAAATAGAATCGCTTTCTAATTTTACTTCCAGTTCCCACCCTCCTTCCCCTTCTCCTTTTTTAACATTATTAAGTGAAAGCGGAAACAACAAATAACTAGAAAAGAGTCCTTTGGAGAAAAAAGAAGAAATATTTCATATATTTATTGAAAACCTATTATACACTAGGTACTCCTAGTTATTTGCTGGCTAGAAAATGAGGTCCTTTCATTTGTTGGCTGATGCTCTCCAGGAAGCCTCCGCAGACCTGGTACCTGTACAGTTAACACCAGGAACTGCTTATGGCCTCCAGGAAAGTGCTCCTGAACTAAGATCTGTATCTATTCTGATTGGCCAGAAGAAGACACCTAAACACTGTTAAATATTTGCCTTTTCAGCTTATAAGTATTTCTCTGGAACTGCATATAGTTCAATTAGGACTCTACTTGGCACCATAGATGAAAACCAACCATGAGAAAAAGAAATGACTGACTTCACTTCTATAGTAAATATAATAAAATTTTTCTTCCTGATCAAGTTACAGTGACCCTGAAAAGAACATGGCAATGCAGTGCTGAGAAAGAGCATAACTTGGAGCAGGAATGTTCTGTGATTGGAAGCTGCTTGTATTCTTTTCCAGTTGTGTGACCTTGGCCAAATTACTAAACAATGATAAGCCTCTGTTGTCACAACTTCAAATGACAGGCAAAACTGTCTTTGCAGTGACGCTGTACAAATTAAATGGAGCACAATTTATAAATGGCTTCACAACAGTTATTTCATTTTGAGTATAACAAATTATAGTCAGTTTTTCAACTGCCTCCTAGCTTTCATTCATAAAAAACTTGGTAGACTACTTGGTTTCTTGGTAGAAACTTTGATTCTACTACATAAAAATGTGGTACTTTTCTGGAGGAAAAACAGAGCTTTTGTCAATTATGTTTCAGGTGTTTTACTTATAAAAACTGAGTCACAATCCTGTTTCCACATAATACTTTCCTTCTATTGCCCCACATCTGGCAAGCAACTTAAATTGTCTCTATTCTCCTTCTGTATTGGAGACTGTATACCTGCCTCTAGGGTTAATAATTTAAT